ACAAGCTCCTGGGTCTGACAGCGTGTTTGACAAATCCTTCTATGCATGAAATACCTACGTCGATCACAATGCATGCATTCTCCATCAAGGGAGACTATTGGCTACAAGGGGAGGTAGCGCTTGAACAATGACAATCGAGACGTCGGATACGCGAGTCGCAACCCAACATTAAAGCAGCCCGACGTGTGTTTTGACGCGGATGTAGCGGTGACTTGTTGTTCACGGAAACAAAGCCCGTCATCTTTTTCCATGCCATGCATCACACGACTATGTGCACTGCCGTAGCGTCAGCGACAGTCGTGTCTACCTTGATATCCATTCGGACCGTTCGGAAGAAGGGATTGCGACCCAACGGCCGGAAATTATAGCTCTCTTTTCTTTTTGTTTCATACATATTCCGATTCAAATCGAGGCGAAGATCATGTGAGTAAGAGCTTCCATTTTTCTACCCATGCAGCCAACCGAATCATCCATGTTTGGTGGGGGAGAGAATCCCCTGCAAGGTTATTCTTCCGATTCTCGCCAATTTGTAGAGGAGGGGGGGGGGGAGGGGAAAACAAAGATGAAGTGGCACCCTGTCTCTGCATCAAGACCCTTGGTCTGGTAATAGCCGGTATCAAGCGGTGTGTCTCTTGGCTGCATTTTGTTCATTACCTGCTGCAGAGGATGCTTTGACGTCTCGCCTCGATTTCTTCCTCGGGTGCTCGTCCCTGACATCCCGTGAGTGACTCGGTAGAACTGCAAGCCCTACATGGGTGTTTATTGTTTCTCACAGCCCCATCATTTGCGTCTGCACCGCCGGTAAGCTGTCCAACTATGATCGTCGAGGATTCTCGATGGTTGCGATTTGGTCCGACATTCCGTATGTAGCCAATATCGATATCCAGACCTCCGCGGTTATTGTTGCCCAAGATCAAGAGCGTCGCAAAAAGACGGTGAAGCGCGTTACAACTCAACAAACGCCGTACAGCGGAAAGGGCTTGTCGACGCCGACTTATCCGTGATGCCCTTGATAACGCCCTTTGTAAACCGGTTTTGCGAGATCTTCTAACATCTCGCCGAGCCCTGCTTTTGGTCACAGATTGTCGTATGATTAGTTCGACCCGAACGTACATACTGCGATGTCGGGCTCCATGCTTAATTTTACATGAGATCATATGCTAACTTTTACCACATTCCTTATGCCCTTGATCTTTCCTTCATTCCCAAGTGAGCAAGATATTGCATCACGTCGGGATAATACTCAACATTTTCCGATCGAGAGTAATAGCAAGGGGGGTTCCGCTTCTACGGCACACTATCTCTTTGTCTTGTCACGCAGCCACGAACGCTCAGATTGTACACTCTCGCCCCAAAGACCACCACAGCGACGAGGCCCAAAGGTGGGCTCGGCTCACAGATCCGACACCCACGAACCTGCCCTACTTGGCAAGATACGATGATCGGCTTCCAAGGATACAGCCGCGTTTGGCGTTCAGATAGATCAACTGATAAAGATTTTCTTTTTGTGGATGCCATCCCAATCCAGAGACAAGGGTCCATGATCCACACAGCACCGCAGCTCCCGCACCAAATTGTCGGGTTCTGACAGCATGATTCCCGAATGGCTGAAGTGTGGCGTCGAATGCCTCTCGAAAATCAAAGGGCAAAAATAATTCCAAACGGATAATGCTTCCTGGCATATAGGAAATGTTCCTTTTGGACCTATCCAAGTTCCAAATTGGGCAGGATTCTCGGGCAAAATTGCCCCCGAGACTGTTAGAGTTTTTGCCCCCCTTTTTGTGCCGTGATGGTTGACGGGAAGAAATTTTTATTGTGATGTATCAACTGTGGTCAATCCCGCGGGATTCCGTCACTCAAAATCTAGATCTTCGATGACATCGAAATGGGAACAAGGAAAAGGGGAGGGCGCTAAAGTGGGGGGGGGGGGCGAAACCAAGGGTTGAAATGAAATATGCCCCTTTTGATTGTACAAAAGGTATACCCGGTAGGATCAAGTACAACGTACGGAGTACAAAATGTAGGTGATGTAGGTGATGTACTTTGCAGATCACTTTCCATTGCTTCCAGGCCCATTTCAATCGCGATCCCGCTCGATCCAGATAGATGTACGGAGTAGGTTTCCTTCCCTAATCAAAATCAGACTTCATTTATTGCTCGGTAAGCGCCACAGGTGCCATCCTTAGGTGTACAACATAGGAGTACTTTAGACGGGAGATCATAGATTCACTATCTCCCCGATCGAGACAAGAAGGTTCGAAGTTAAGTGCTGTGCCGAGTGTTAATTCACTTTCTTCCAGATCTGACAATTTGCGCTAAAATGTGCTCGCGATCAGTTACACGATGTTTTTTTTTTTTTACTATTCTCTTCTTGGAAATCGCTGATCGAAATAGTATCCATATCGGACTCTTTGTTACCCTTGATTCTAGACACTGGTGGGACCTTACTTAGCAGTGCTGGCATACATGCAAAGCTGAATCAATCTTATTGTTTGGACTGGTCATTCACAGTGCCAAAAGCGCCACATTTACAATTACCGATCTAGAGTTTATGGGATTTGTATTAGATCCCGGAAGATTGGGAAATTCTAAATGTCGAGACTTAATGGAGTAAGTGACAGGTGTACTTTTGTATAAATCGGCACGGCGTATCCGAAGGAAAAGTACCTAATGCATACAAATTTTGACAGTCTCCGAACCCGGTGATCTCCATGTCCCAAGTAAAAAAGTCTGGCGCTGGTCCGGCAGCTGAACGGGATATCCGCGGACCAATTAAATCTTTGAATCATCCTCCTTCCTTAGGGTCCCCGTTAGCAAAACCATGGAACCACAATTCCAGTTCCACGGTATTAAGTTAAAGATTGTATGGAGTACATTAGTGTATGTCAATGGGCTAAGGTAATGTTGTATTCCAATTACGATCTAGTAATCTCCAACAGGAACGATCGCCCTCCCCACTTGTGGCGAGCGGAAGGCAGGGATCCGGTGCCGCGGTGACGGGTACAGTGCAAAAGTTCCAGTGGACACGAATCACATCTCATCTTTCGCAAGGATTTTCACACTATTGATTCTACTTTCGGTCATGTGAGCATTCCTTTGTTTCTTTTATTTCTTTTCCCAGGTACCGGGGAGCCGAATTCCGCGGACTGTTGGTGTGGACCTGTACAATTGCTCCGTACTTTGTCGCCTTACTTCATGTACTCTTGAGATTCCCCTGCAGCGGTCTAGACATTGATTTGATCACAGTCACGTGTACGGAGTACGGAGTACCATTACGTCTTGTAGCAGGATTCTGTATAAGCCCAGCTGAAACTAATTGAAGCTCAGTGATATCTAAATATTTTAAGATCATTCGTCTAATAATTTGTCGCTCATACAATGTTTGCTATATATCTCATATTCATATTGCACCCAAATTAATTTCCTACCTTCAACCCATTTATAACTTTGGGACTTGAAACCAACCTATAATAACTAAGCAACCCTTTTTACCTCGTCCTTCCTTGCATCTTTTACCCAATTCAATGCTCCTATGTAGATAACTAAAGGCCTGTGCCCAAGGTATTTATTGGATCTAGACTTGAAGTAATATCTCCTTTTGATATAAACTCCGTACCATTGTCTTTTAAGTAATAAAATTCAGTCGCCCGCTTGTATGGACTATAATGATTTGAATGCTAATTGGTCAATAAAAATGATTCACTCCACGGAGTACTCCGTAGACAGATGTTATATAAATGATTAGCCCACGCAAAACACATAATGATATGCAGAGGACGTTAACGTATAACCTCAAGTCTATAAAGCAAGTTCTCCACATACAACCTGCGATATGTAGGTACCCCGTACATATTATTAATCAATATACAGAGTAAGTAAAAGTCAATTCCATCAAAGATCATCCAATATGATCTCAAGCCTCGGTCCTAAAAGGTATGCATGAACATGCACATTCGTAAAGTTTACTAAATTGTGGATGAACTCCTAAAAAGTACCGCCACCGGTCATCTCCAGAGAATCCAGACCCCGCATAATCTTCGGGTGCTGAATCTCCTAGCAAAAGTACAAACTTCACCTATCTAGTACTTTTGTTTGCCGCCCCGGAGCCAAGATGTGATCGCCTTCCTGGCATGTGCATACGTCCTAGATGTGACAGCGGATCACAGATTCCTGCCTGTGATGAACTGGACATTAGAGCTAGGGCTAATGGACCAATCAACACCCATAATGTCGGCCTTGATGATACGTCGACACGGACTACTCCGTTGGTATCATTAGTTGATACTGTGAAGATGTGATCTTATCCGGTTGCATGGAACGGGCTTCAATTACAAATCTCAAATTCCAAATAATCTCTCACGTAAGCCTGGCTGCCTATCATTGTCGTGGGCTTTATCTACATATGTAGTGCTCTATATTACTTGCTGCTTTCGAGTACTCCTGTTGCTTACTGGCGTTGCATAAAGATATGCAGGTCCATGTATCTTGCCGTCCTGTCTGTCTAGTCTTCGCCCGTCTGCATGGTTTCTTCCGCATGTATAAAGACATTGTAGATTTGGGTGTGTCAATTTGGAGGCTTGTACTTATGTCACTTGCCATAATTAAGGCAACTGCAACCTACGGTTAAATACATTATAGGATAATATGTTTTGAATACCATCTTAGAACCATCCTGATTTATGGAATTATTTACTCAAATTTGGTTAACACCAATTCACAATTGAAAGATACGCTATGCCTGATAGGAGAATTCATTCAAAAATTGATATTAAACAAAGAAAGGTTGGGTGCGATTTGACAACAGCGTAGATATAACAGGAAAGCTCTCCTTCCAGTTACTGCTGTGCGCTGGTTGGTATGGAGCTATCAAAAAAAACACCAGACGATTGGAGCAATCTAAGTACATCTGGTAGAAATAAAGCTAGAAGTGCCTTGCTGGAGCAACCACCGAATCCCTTTAAACCACACGTTGTAAAGACACCAACACAAGACCAAATAGTTTAATTGGCGGCTTCATCTTCCGAGACAAGGACATAATCAGAAGCATATGTACTTTTGTTGACTCCTCCACCCGGATTAGACTGCTGTCCCTCGGGTTCTTCCACTTGTGGCTGTTGCATACATTCAGGTTGTTGCGAAAGCTTTTGTTTAATAAGGGCAAGTTGTCGTGAAGTTGAGGTTTGCGCTTCAAACAAGTGTTTTATGAGCTCTTGCTGTGTGTTTATTTGTTGATCCGCAATCTCTAGGAGTCTTTCATGCATGGCGAGCCTCTCTTTTAACCCACTGTATTTTTGAAAGAAGCCTTGTATGCTGAGCTGCTCTTGCAAGCTGGTAATCTTTTCTTGAACTATATCCTCCTGTAGTTCAGATTTCTTGGGTCTTTCCTCTTGTCTGTGGACTGTCTCTTTCAAATTTCTGAACCTATTCTGGATTTCGTCTTTCTCCACATGTCCCTTATCCATGTCAGGCCGGTGTTCCAAGCTGCCTAGGCATTTCTCTGGCATTGTCAATCCCGGTGTGATCACGGCTTCGTCGATCTTGCCATAGTATCTTCAATCCACTCTTCAATGCTCGGTTTTTCCGCGGTGGTATGGACGCTGCTTGCGACTGTATCGCGCTTTCTCTTGTATGTGAGCATCGATTTGGGCTGTGAAAGATTGCTTTCTAGTTGATAGAGATCTCAGAGAGTAGTCAAGGGAAGACAAAGGGAAAGGTTATCACTGAGTCATCTCATCGCCTCAGAAGGTTCAAATTGATGATCAGCCCCCGAGTAATGGTCATGCTAGTGATCCATGGATGCATATTGATGATTCCCAGGGTTCTTCACCGACTTATGCTCTTTTTGATATTTTCCTTTATGGCTTAGTACTATATACCAGCATCAAAGGCCAAAAGAGGATGTGCAAGATCTTGGCAGGTTGAAAAAGCAAACAATACAGTATTAAACAAAACAAAGGCTCACCGTTTTTTTTTCTTTGCTGCATGTCAGCGACTCAACGACACACTAGTGAAAGCTAGACAAAGAGTCGAGTCGCAATCAGACAAGACTAAAATGAGTTAGCCCACCAAGTAGAGTCCGCATATGTTCATTGGTCACTTTGTCACGGGTTCGGGGAGTCACAGCGGTAACGTGCAGATGCAACAAGGGTAGCTGCTGTGACCCTATGGGTCGGATGTGGAAGCCCAACGGCTCTTCATAATATCCAATATTTCGATGCAGGGATTTGATGAGGCGGTGGCAAGCAAGCGGTAAGATGCAGAGTCGGGCATGCCTTGATCAGCTTGTTTGTCCTTGGCGAATCCTTCTGAATAACAATTCAGGTTTGTGCTACATGAGGTTTATAGCCCATTTTTGGATATGTAAAAATGGAACATGAATTGGTAGAGGAAAAAGGAGAGGCAAAAGTGGTCATTAAAAAAGAATATACTATGGGCAAATATTCTGCACTCAGTGGGGATACTATAAGTGACTTATCACCATGTGATCTTATCGGGGCCTTGAGAAATCCGCTGAAGTCATAATTCAGCCTGTCGACAATTCATTGAAAACCGGTATATCTGCGCCCTATGAAGATCTAATCTTAACTGGACAATCTCAAAAGTTGAAGCAGCTGCATTTGCAGAATGAGCGAGAGATAGCCGCGAATCACACATCATGGCGCATCCACGAGTCTATTTTTCCCTTCCCGTACGACCATTCCTTCCAAGACGAGCCCGTTGCAGCCGATTATTCCTATATGACCTCCAAAAACCGTACATTGCACGGAACCGATTTCAAAGCACCAATGCCGACCCTGAGACACCCCCTCAGCCCACCAAAAATGCCGTACCTAACGAGGTAACACCGGACCTGTCGCATCTGGACCCTGCTCCGGAGGATTATTCGCGGTTCATTTTTCAAGACAAATGTCGGGTGAAAATTCACGCAGGCTCTGGTGGACACGGCTGTGTAGCCTACCTGCGCGAGAAATATGTCGAAGAGGGACCCCCGAATGGCGGTGACGGTGGCAGCGGAGGCGGTATATACATCCAGACCGTTGAGGGTCTGACGAGTCTCCATAAGCTGGCCCGCAGAGGCATTGTCAGAGCCAGTAGGGGTCGAAACGGGCAAGGTAAAAGCAAGGGTGGAAAACGAGGCGACGACGTTCTCCTTCAGGTACCTGTCGGCACCGTGGTGCGGGAGGTGAGCCGTTATGATCCAGTCGAGGTGGAGTGGGCCCGTATCAAGGCTGCGGAAGAAGCGTCCTATATTGCCAAAGAGGAGAAGAAGGTTTGGCAGGCTCCTGATGACGCTGACCCTGAAGCTGAAGCTGAAGGTGAAGGACTTGAAGAAGACGAGCCGGAGTTCAACCCTATCCAGCACGAACGCTGGGTGTTACACCCCGCCGCAAAGCCATCTGATTTCCTTATGGTGCAATTTCCGAAATCATACCCGCGACGACAGAATATAGCAGCCATGGAACCCAAGTCGCCGATCTGGCTGGACCTTTCAAAACCCATGGATAAACCCATGCTTCTGGCTGCCGGTGGTATTGGCGGTCTGGGCAATCCGCATTTCTCCACACGAGTCATGGGACGACCGAAATTTGCAAGCCGAGGTGAAGGTGGAATGATGTTGGAGCTCGACTTCGAGCTTAAGCTCCTTGCAGATGTCGGTTTGGTTGGGAAACCAAACGCCGGCAAGAGTACGCTTCTCCGCTCGTTAACCAACAGTCGGACCCGCATTGGAAACTGGGAGTTCACTACACTTTCTCCCAGTATTGGCACTGTCATCACCGACGACATGAAGGGTCGTCCTCTTGTTGAGTCGAAGGCCCGTCGCACGCACTTCACTATTGCGGACATTCCGGGTCTGGTGGAAGGTGCCCATCTCGACCGAGGACTTGGTCTCGGGTTCCTACGACATATCGACCGAGCTGGGATTCTGGCCTTTGTGGTTGATCTCAGTTTTGGCGATCCTGTACAGGAACTCCAGAAATTGTGGCGCGAACTTGGAGAGTACGAGCGCATGCGCGATGCAGAGCCTGACGCTGTCGAGGAAGACGACATCATTGAATGGAACCCCTTCACTGAAAATGCGGATGGTGGTCATCGGCGACAACCACTCGACCGAGAGCCTGCCCCGATATTGAATACCAACCCCGATGGCTCGCTGCCTCCGCTGGTGATGACACCTCTGCATCTGAAGCCATGGTTCGTCGTGGCATCTAAGGCAGACCTGGAAAACACACATGAACAATTCCGAGCTCTGCAGGAATACTTGTCTGGTGTCCAGAATGGCTCGATTGAGCATCCATCTGGTCATGAAAGGGCTTGGAAGGAGAAAGTGTGTGCTGTCCCTGTCAGTGCTAAAAGAGGCGAAGGTGTGTCTCGAATTCCTAAATTGGTGATGGAGCTTCTCGAATGAAGCATGTATATTAGAAAACTCCCTTGATGATGAACAAAGTGTACTATATAATAAGCATCAACATACCTTCAACTTCCCCTACAATCTATAAAACTTGCACATATGCCTAGCTTTGATTTTACTCTATTCAAAAAACCTGGCCCTATTATATTAGAGAATATAGGACATAGATAATCCCCTATATATTTTTTTTTCATTTGATTGCCAGAATGAGGGTTTGTGATATTTTGTTTTGGACAGTGGAAGGATCAATCCCACCATAACAACATACCTTGGGGACACTTTGGGATTACTTTGAGGATAGTTTCTAGCATCGCCTCTTTCTTTGCTTTCTTTTCTTTATTCTTCAATTCACATCCCCCGGTCATGGCCCTTTCATCAGTCCTTAGTGACGCGTTGTCTGTTATCGCCGAGCCAAGCTTTGACGACCCCATCCTCCAATGCGACAACCCTGACCTTCAAGATCTTCTCTTCAATGACACCGAGAAAGCACTTGAGCTTGCCAACTCAAAATTACACTCCTTTCCATTTAAGGATGTGCACATCTGCTGGCATCGACTCTATACGGACGCGTCTATCATCAAGGCCTGCGTCACCATCATCACGAAATGCGGCCTGATCCCTAAAGCCAGATTTGAAACCCACCTTGTTGTCTCGCAACTCATTCAAGACATCAAGAATGCAGAACCTGAGCCGAAACTCTCCCCAGATGCGCCATGGCTATCAGATGTCGTGGCCATCCTCGATAACGTCTTGATCATGTCTGGAGCGCCCCTCCGCGAGAAACTGGTCGAAACCTTGTTGTCCACGCTGCAGGCGGCTACAGAATCCCCCAAATTCGAATACGACAACACTGATAGTCCGGAATATCCTACCGCGAAGCGCAGAAAATTCTCGCCTCCTCTCTTCCCTCCAAATGCGATCCGTGAACCCCATCTGGAACATCCAATCCCGCGTTTATCGGCGCCGTCGTTTGATTCCATCGAACACCACATTCAAAACATTCGAACCCCGCTCGTGATAACAGATGCAATGGATCACTGGCCGGCAATTTCGACGCGTCCGTGGTCTTCGCGGAATTACTGGTGGGACCGCACGTTTGGGGGTCGCAGATTGGTTCCAATTGAGGTGGGAAGGTCGTATACCGACGAGGACTGGGGACAGAAGATTATGACGTTCAAGGACTTTGTAGACAAGTACATATGGCAAGGCAAACTCACCCCGACTGGGGAGCCGGAAAACCAGCCCCAAGTCACCAATCTCGATGGAGAGACGGCATACATGGCGCAACACGACCTACTTTCTCAAATACCCGCCTTGCGTAACGATATCAGTGTACCGGATTACTGCTTTATTATCCCGCCGGGCCCAGACCCGGGAACACCGGTGTATGAGAAAAAAAGCGTGAGCGCGAGGCGAAATCCCAAGCACAGGTCCCTGAAACCTCGCATGACGCCCAGTTGGACACAGCACCAAATAAAGATGACGTATCCGAACACAGTTCAGATACAGGCTCACTTATGGGAATCCCCAGCGATCCCATTATCAATACTTGGATCGGACCTGCGTGGACGATTTCCCCTCTCCACCACGACCCCCACCACAATATCCTCGCGCAAGTCGTGGGAACCAAGTACGTCCGGCTGTACTCACCTTGTACACCTGACTCTCAGATCCATCCACGGGGACAAGAATGGGTCACGTCTATTGATGAAACGGCAGATCCAGATCCTGTATCTGGGGCTCGGCCAACGACTCGTAGACTGGTTGATATGTCCAACACTTCCAAGGTGGATCTGGCTGCTATCGAGTCTTCCCCTGCTGAGTATGAGCAATGGGAAGAGATGTGGCCTGGGTTCATGGATGCGGATTATGTGGAGACTGTTCTCCATGAAGGCGAGTGCCTTTACATTCCTGTTGGGTGGTGGCACTATGTGCGTGGATTGAGGGCTGGGATCAGTGTGAACTTCTGGTGGGGGTGAGAGAACAGCTTTATGAGAGATGCACGATGATATGTTGTCTCGGAATGAGATAGATGTGCTGCTTTGCAAATTCATTATAACCTGACACAACCAAACTGTATGGTATTCTGCATATATGTAATACCTCAATTACTCAAAGCAGGAGTAGTCAGCCGCGTGTGCCTCTGTCTTTAAGGTCTTTGATAGTTTGATCTGGCTCAAGATGATATCAGAGCCAGTAAATAGCTTATTCTCACGTTGTTATAGTAACTTTTGTGTCTTGAAACTTTCAGGTCGACTATTTCCACCTGCGTGAGAGATTAGATATCTCACAACCGTTTCCTACACAATGCTCCGTCCATTCAATAGACCTTAACATAAATTCCCATATTGTCTTCGATTCCCCATGTCCGTGGCTCCCCTAGGGACATCAAGCACACAGTTTGTTGCGCTTATATGTGCCTAACATAGCCACTCCGAGATCTGGTTTTATAGAGATGTCCTACAACTTGATAGTCATTATCCTTAGGGACTTTTCAAAAAACAATCAATTATAATCAAATAGAGCTGTTCATAAATTCATTATCTATCTTAATTTATGACAACTGTGTTGCTTACGTTGGACTGTAAAGACGGACCAGGGTACATAAGTCCAATTTAGATAAGCCACTCTTGACTCATTTTCACATTGTTGTATTCAACCTTGTGTTGCCGTTCCAGCTGCATCCTTTCCAAAATATCACTGAAGTCGCGAACTGGGCCAAGATTAAAATGGCCGTTGATCAGGGCGCCATATCAGCTCCAGCTCCAACACTAGTTGTGCAGTTCCTTCATGCAGGCGTTCAACTTGTTGGTCAACTTTATGAAATCCATAGCCTTCCCAATGGCGAGCAGCCTGTTGAGGGATGGGATGCATGTAGCTTACATACCAAGTTGACCACGCTGAGTGACAGCATAGCGGGTAGTTGTCTAAGGGAGATCGGACCACTGTCGGAACAGGATCAGGCGATGGATGGCCTCCGCAATACCTGTCACCTCATTCTTCAGATTGTTTGATCTCGCCTAAGGCTAATCCGGGACTTTGGGCCTGTTTCACTCCTGCATGTCAGGGAATTGAAGATGTTTTGGTCGCGAGAAGATGTGGAAGCATTAGAAGAAAGGATAATGTCATTGAAGTTGGAACTGGAGGCGGCGACTTCATTAGCGTATAGGTATGTTCATTGGCCATTTCTTCTCACGCGGTAGACTTTTCGGATAACTAACCGTTCTGTTCAAACAGCCCAATCACTAACAGTGAGGCTCTCATTTCCTTGGACATTTCCCGAGGCAAAGAAACACCCAACAACCTTCACTCATTGGATGAAAGACCAAAGAGGAATGAAAGGTCCCCCGAGCCTAGCATTGTTACACTTTTCGGCAAAGACGTTGCTAGAGTACAGAATGCAGTGGCAGTTGAGGAGGTTGACAAAGTCTACTCGGAAGACACAGTATCTACAGATCACGAGACGACCATCCAAGACTTCCTGGTGGAAGCTATCAAGTTTTCTTCTATGACGGATCGAGAGGAGAGTGTCACTGTCGCCCATAGCAAAACGTTTGAGTGGATATTCGCCGATAAACCGAACCCGGTCTTCCAGCGGTGGCAATCGAAGAATTCTCTCAGTGGCTGGTTACAAAGTGGAGAGCACCAGGAAGGTATATACTGGATTAGCGGCAAAGCAGGATCCGGAAAGTCTACCTTGATGCGTTTTGTGATGCACCACGCCCAAAAAATGAGTTTGCTTCGCTCATGGGCGCGGAATGAGCGACTCATCACCGCTGGCTTTTATTTTTGGATTAGTGGTACCTTGGAGCAGAGGACTCAGACGGGCTTGATACGGCATCTTCTAGCACAACTACTGGACCAGCAAAGATATCTCATCCCACTGGTCTTTCCGGTGAGGTGGAAACACCTTCTGTCTCTGAGTACACGAGAACAGTGAAAGCTTCGATCTCATGGGACCTTCCTGAGCTGACAGCAGCACTGAACTCATTTCTGGACTACGCAGGTCGCGGAGGTAAGGTGTGTTTGTTCATTGATGGACTAGACGAATTCGCAGGCGACCATCAGCAAATCGTGGAATTTTTCAAGGACTGCGTTGCTTCATATTCTCACGTCAAAATCTGTCTATCCAGTCGGCCCCTTTTCACTTTTCGTGCGGCTTTTGGAACGAATCCAAACCTTGAGCTCCACGAACTGACCCGAAGAGATATGCTTCACTTTGCCCAGGATCATTTAAACGGGGACCCCTTGATTATCCAAGTCCTCACGAAAGATGAAGAGGCAGCATCAAAACTCATCAAGAGCATTGTTACAGCCGCAGATGGCGTTTTTCTCTGGGTGTTGCTTGTGGTCCAATCTCTACTGCGCCGTGGAAACTATCAAGATGTTTGGCAAATGCATGAATACCTGGGCCAGCATCCCACCGACTTGGATGACCTATTTACGTATTTTCTTTTCGACTCTGCATCGAACAACCAAACGTTGATTGCTTCACGCCTGTTTCAGCTCATTCATGCCAGACAAGAAGCTTGTTATGCTACTCGACACGAAGATGCGGCATCCATGAGCCTCTGGGAATTTGCTCTTGCCGACCAATTTGAGGAGATCGTGGGTCAAATCCCAAAAGACGTGCAACAGGCGAGCGAAAAGGACATCATTCGTATATGTGAAGTGACCAAGACCCGGCTGTCCAGAGAGTGCGCCGGGTTGATAGTGACTCATAGCTCAGGCTTATCAACAGGCATGCTTCGGCGCAATACACCATCGCCGGCAGAGCAGCTAGGCTATAGTAAGGTCTCTTATGTGCATCGAACCGTGAAGGATTTCCTCTCCCTGCCTCATGTTCGATCCCGTCTCTTGGAGCACATGGTAGGATCAAGTTTTGAACCGCACACATCGCTTCTCACCTCTATTGTTTTCCAAGTCAGGTGGCCACTAGACGAGTTTCATCCCAACCGACAGATAGATGACCGGTGGCCCAACATAATCCTCGCATTCACTCATGCACGATTGTCTCTGAATCATCGACAGTCACAGCTGGTGCTTATTGCCGAGTTGGATCGAGCCCTGTGTCAGCATTGGGTGTCCCGCCAGTCGATCGAACATGATCATTGGGCACGGAACCATTTTTCGTCATATGAGAAACGAAAGAATCTTAGCTTTCGTGATCCATTTCTCTCACTCTCTGCAAGTTCGGCCTAGCAACCCTGGTACGTGAACGTGTCTGGAATGATAGAATGTTGCATGGCAGTGATAGCGGCATACCACTTCTCAGTCATTCCATCGAGTTGCTCGCCAGTCGGCGGCAGAGCGTATACCCTTTATCCAGTGCAGAAATAATCAGTGAAATTCTCACGAGTGGTGCCGATCCGAACCAGCCCTACCAAGGGCTGAATGGAAAGGAGCAGACACCCTGGCTGGTTGTTCTGGATTATCTCCGAGAAGCAGATCGTCGTCGATGGATTGAGTACTACGACACTAGTGAACATGGCACTTCTCGTCTGGCGGTGATTATATCGCTGTTCATTCAGCACGGTGCCGACCCGAATGGACTGCTTGTTGAGACCAAATTTGATCCGTCGGCTTCTGCCCTGGAGATAATCACTGCCATCTACCGGAAATACGCCGCTCCAGAATTTGGTCGACTTCGCCAGGTATTGATAGAAAAAGGAGCCTTGGAGCGAGAAGGACATGGCATTCTGTATCAAGTGTATGGTACGTAGTGTGGTTCGAAGCGTCAAGTCACACTAATAGCCGCCATGCTAAATGCAAGAGGCCACAAACGGAGAACTAACGAAAAAGAGAGAGAAGGAGGGCTGAGATCAAAGGAAGAGAACAGGGAAAGAAACACATAATCTGTGTTTTAATTCGTTTCATAGTCCGTTCAGTGGTCCTTTCAGCAGTCTTGTGTTATGGTTCTCAGAGACCTTTTTACATGTAGATGTAGAAGCGCCTATACATACTCATTTTCAATAGCTACATCTAACTCCACCCTTCCACCAGCTCGCAAAGCGTCTCCTCCCCACCCACATTCCCAGGGAAGACAACGAAAGGCACACTGCGATGGCGACTAGTCTCCTCATCGCACCGCCAAAGAGGCACACCAGGCGCCGCCTGGCCAACGACAGTAGCACGCTTTATATTCAAGCCCTTAGTCGCAGCGTCCGAAGATGTGATCCCACCCTAAGAAAGTCAGCACCAATACACCCATCCCAAACAAAGATACCAGATATCATATATCATACCTTGGCAATAATAAACCGCGGCTGCACCTCAATCCGCCGCAAAACACCAACCAACGCCTCCGCAACCACAGACCCAATCTTCAGCGACGACAACTCATCGCCCCCAGTCACAAGCGCCCGACTCGTCATAACAAGCGTATCCATCCCAGCCCGCAGATGCGATTCCGTCTCCTGCACAACGCGCAGTACAGCACGCGCCGCAATCTCCGGCGACGCAATAAGTTCCTCAACCTTCATTTCAATGATCGCCAACTGACCCAATGCGCCGCGCCGATCCGTCAACACTTTCAGCTGCGCGGTAGTCTTGGGAACATACGACCCGGCAATGATAAGCCCCCCTGTCTGACGCGGCGAGGGCAGATGGAGCTCAGCAGCGGAGATGGGTGCTTTAGAACGGATACCGAGTCTAGTTGAGACGAAGGCCGCGCCTGTGCGGTACAAGAAGTGTTTGCCCTTAGACTCGGCTGGGTATTTTAGCGTTAGCCATGGGGTCTACGTACTCAAACTAGCAGTAAAGCGGTCGGACATACCAAGTAGCAATCCCGCTACGAAGACGTGCATGTCAGACTCCGCGGCCGCATTGACGATCACCACTCCGCCAACTGGTGCAGTAAGCAGTTTGTTGCAGACGGCCTGCGGCCCGCCGATGCGGATTTCTTCAATTGTCACAGAGCATAATTGGACTGCGTTGAACCGGGGCGCCTTTTCGAGGACGTAGTCCCGGAGATTGGAGCTTTTATATCCGAACGTTGCATCCTTGGCGAACTGTGTCGCGCCGGCCGGGACGAGACTGTCGCCTTCGGTGACGTAGTGCACATCGTCGATGGTAAGCCTCCCACCTTGGAAGAAGAATGGGGCGAGAACAAGTGCGTCTGCAGGGCCAAAGACCGACTGCGCGATATCAGTTTCGAGGGGGAAGTGGCCGCGTAATGTGCTATCGCCGCGGAGGACGATGTCGACCTTTTGGTTTGTTGCTTTGGCGGCTTGGGTAATGTTTGTGCAGATCTCGTAGATGAGTGTTTCTGCTTCTTTTGGTGGGAGGGCACGTGAGTTTGTGAGGATGAAGAAGCCTGGCTTTGTGGACTGGAATTCGGCTGTTAGTGTTGGGATGTCCCAGACCGTTAGGACAGAGATGTCGTGGCAGGTCTGTGTGCCAGTTGGGTCATCATCTAGCACCACTAGCCGGTTGATTGGGGCTGTTGTGAGGATTTGGGTGATTTGCTCTTGCGCGTCGGTGGAATACTCTGCGGGGAGGTTGGCGAGGGTGGTCTCCCGGGGGAGGATGGGGTACTCGTGCTGTGACATGAGCAATTGGGTTGTTTTCCTCTTTTCTTGTGCTATTCGTTAATTGAGTCTGGGTTATGTCAGGGTTATATCTAAAAAAGCAGATGAAGTACTGAAGATCAAGCGGGGGGGATATGCGGGGAGCTTTCGGAGAGAAGGCCGAAAATGCATAGATTCGCAACTATGGACTAGATAGAATCAGACATGTTTTCCAACACCATAAACGCCGGAGACAGATGCAAGAATGAAGGCGTTTGAATGCTTGCAAGCGTAGTAAGCCATGCGGTCATTATGCATGTAGCCGGTTTCAAAGTCCAGTATCCCCATATATCCCTCCCATCCCATGCATCGAACAAAGTAAAACAAAGATGACAGGTCGTAGACTGCGTGATTGTGTTCGTAGGGGATTTATCCCACCACACTGCGGAAACTCAATGCTTCGAGGAAGCCACCAAGGTCATCCTTCTGGACCTCGACAACACAATGCTCGAAGCTGTCGATGCGGACACGCGCATTCGTCTCCTGGACTACCTCCTGGAAGGCAATACCAAACCGGTTACGGAGAAGATGCTTCTTTCCACGCGGATCTTCCTCGTCCTCGGACTCCGATTCCGATGAGGAATCAGACTCTTCTGAATCTTCGTCTTCGGCACCAGTCTCGTCTTCTCGTTCAGCACGCTCTGCGGCTCGCTGGGACCGGCGCTCTGATCGCTCTTTCTGTTTCTTCTCCTTGTCGTCTTTCTTCTTCTTGCGTTCCTCCTGGCGCTTGGCCATGGCAGCGAAGTCAACAACACCGCCGCCGCCACCAGTGCCAACGACAACATAGAGATCGCGATCTTCATCGAGCCCGGCAAGGACGAGAGGAGTTCCTGCTGCTCTCTTCTGACCGATCTTGACTGAGTCGCCACGCTCTTTCTCCTGGACTCGAATGGCCTCGGCGATCCACAGGGCCAATTTCGTCAAGGCCCCGGGGTTTGTGAAGAGTTTAACGTCGGGTCCATCCTTGACCACAGCAATGCGGAATGCTCGAAGGTGACGGATTTGATGTTTGGAGAGTAAGGAGGTACCAGTGCGAAGGATAGCACGGTGTAGATGCTGAGCCAGGGGCAAAGACTCTAGGAGAATCGTGGGTGATTCGGACGTTAATGAAAGGGCGTCGTACGCACTCCAGAACCGAGGCAGCAGACTAGCCAAGTCAGGTTCGCTTGAGACTCCGTCATTTTCTGTATCATCGCGTACTCGCGGCACACGTTTGGCGTCCCAAGAAGCCAATGTCTCGTGTGGCCCAACTTCCAGCATTGCACCCACAATAACACCCACATCTGTGGCCGAGAGGCATGCCTTCCAGCCCCAGCAACGCACAAATCCCCAGCCCTCACGGGCACTTGCACTCCCAGATCCCTCTGATGGCACGAGTCCATCCAGGCCATACATAGGGGCGTACTTGAGCAGACGTGATCGTAGAACACGCTTCAATTCCATGTCCATGTGGGTATAGTATTGGTGACACTGGGTCAGACTGATTCCCATCTTGGCCAGAAGTTTGTGCAGTCGTTTGCGGCCATTCTCAGTCCAAACATGCAGCCTTGGGGCGAGGTAAGGACTGTGGAGCATACTTTCGTATAGAGACCAGTGTCGGACAAGAAGAAATCGCGGTTCAGGGGAAAGACGGATCGACGTATCGGTGGGTGATCTAGCTGTTGTTGGAATGACACCGTTGATTTCTCCTCGGATGTCACGATTTGATTCTACAGGATCAGGCGGGTTCAAACGATGCACTTCATCGCGAAGTATTTGGCGAATGTGTTCACCACGTTGGCCACCCCAGCCTGCTGAGCCTCCTGATTCTGATGTGTTTGAAATACCCACTCCGGTCATTGTTCGACCACTGAGTTCCAGGCTGGAGACACCGACAATAGCAAGCCATAACAGGTCATTGTCATCTCTTCCAAGCTCAGATGCCAAAGAGTAGATCAGCGACGAAATTGGTTCGGAGTATGAGGTTCCAGACGAATAGTATGATTGCAGAACAGAGTCGTGTCTTCGCTTGAGATTAATTAAACGTTTCTTTAATGACCGCGCCGAGGGTTGTTTTGCCTCGGCTGGTGATGGCGAGTCAGTTGTCGGTGTCACAGATCGCGACGAGTTCGAAGAATTGATTCCAGTCTTTTTGCGGCGAGTCGGCGACGAGGCAATGGAGGAGCCCTATATCACGCGTTAGCCTATTGTCGAGCCATAGAAATGTTAAAACCTACTGAATTGCTTCTCCTCCGTTGGTGGGGTGGCTCATCGCCTTCTGAATCTTCATCCTCTTCGCGACCTGACCAGGATTTGCGCTTTTTCGACCCTGTTTGCATTTCGTCTTCAGATCCGTTGTCACTCGCGTCATCTCCATCATCGTCTACCTCTGGCATTTCCAGTAACGCGTAGTATGCCTCTCGTTCGTTGCGAAGCTCTTCCTCAATGTCTCCGTCGTCATACACGATGATTCCGCCATTCTTCGACGTGTAAGCGGGAGTGATGCACCCTTTATCAACCCCGCGTCCTCGCCGTCGCGCATTGGTATCGATTTCAGCCATAGGTTGACCCATCCCACCTTGTCCACCAAAGACGTTCCCCAGGTTCCACGGCCGTCGCGCGTCGAATACCCAGATCTCTACGCCTCCCATATCTTCCACCTCGTCCTCGGGATTGCTCAAAGCAAGTATCTCGCTCAGATCCACTAGACCCCCTACTCCGAGACAGACGACAACTCCTCCGCTGCCGCCATTGGTGGTCTGCATCGGGCGGACCAGTTCCTCCCCCGCACGCGACAGGTCGCCATATCCTGCAACTGGTTGGATTTTATGAGGGATATAGTCGCGTTTTAACAATGCTGTGAGAATTCGACAGGCACATAGCGCGTCTGGCTCTAATGCCACGAGAATCAAGACGGGTGGAGAAAGTGGGTGGTGAGATCGGAGGAGTTGTAGGTAAAGGTGTGAGATGAGCTGCCGAGGGAGATACATGGCCAGCTTGGGATTGTCATATGCTCATGCGACAGCTCATGAAGAAAAAGAACTCGTAAGAATAATCTCAGAAATGTGAGGTGGTTATTTGGTGTGAAGCCCTTGCAGCAAAGAGTCTCCCATAGCGCCGGGGAAGTGGACAAGCGCGACGCGTCGAGGCACGTGCCGAGATTCCATACCTCATCACCTCGACGATATTTTCCCTTTAATTACTTGAATATTTCATTTAAATGTCTTACTTCTTAACTCCTTGAATTAAATACGGGTATAGATCTTCCAAAATATGGGTGGTTCATTTTATTGCTCAATGCAAATTGGGTGCTTTACGCGAACTCTTCCGTCTACACTTTAAATTGAGTCTTACGCGCGAATCCTTTGTTCAAATCACGCTTTCTGCCCACCACGCAGTCTCCTGCAAAACAAGTCAAGTTCTTTCACAGTCTCAGCGGGTAGAAGCCCTTGGGCGATATCCTTGATATGCTGAGCGAGCTCAGGCCCCGAGCTGGCTTCCAGAATCACACCATCACCCTTCTGCAATTTTGAATGGTAGTAGATCCACCGGAGAGAGGCTTCAGATTCTGAAATTTGGAGTTTTCCAATGGTCGCTCTGAAGTCACCATTATTAGCCTGCATTTTTGGGCTGTCGTACGTGCTACCATACCAGGTCCTGTCTGTATCGACGCTGGTAAAGCGAGTGAAAGAGCTACAGGCTTGTTGGATATAAGACCGTCCTTTGACTTATTTGTCAGACTGAGCGTTTGTTTGCTTGATTGGCAGGGTATAAAGACCCTGCTCTTTGCTAGATTGAACAACAATGTTTCTTCTTTCTCTTCCTGCCCTTCGCCAGTAGCCGTAACAAGGCTGTCAGCTGGCTGGGCGTGATATTGACTTGGTTTGACAGTATTTATATAACCTGCAAGCATGAAACACGATTCCATGCTGGCGAAGGAGCGGGAGAAGCTCCTCTTTCTCTCGACGGACCAGATTAAACCAACCCTGGTATACAGTTGGCGTGATGTTGCCTCTCTCCTCCCACACTATGAGGAATGCCTTCAAGAGCCGTGCAGAGAAATTCCATAGGCCGAACTGTGGTAAAATCAGCGTCACATCGCTTGCAAGAACGCAATATTGTAGGTACCTTCTCAGACCGACCCTTCAAGTACTGCTCATGGATAACAGTTGCTGATTAATTCTTGCTTCCTTCCAAGGTTACCTGGAAGATAGAAATAAACCCACCGCAGCCCGTTGATAACGAGAAAGTCACTCTTTACCTAGCACAGCGAGATGTCCAGGAGAATCTACGGGCATTCCCGTTTGGTTCAACCAAGGCTCGGATTGGATTTGTCTTAGATTTTGATATCCATTCCCTTAAACGGGATGGAGAAAATGCCTTGCTAGTGCACTTTCCGTCGGCATTAAGAGAGATTGGCTTCCACGACCAAAATTGTCTTATATAGCCGTTTGATTTCCAGGCTCCTTTTATGCCTAGAAAGTTAAAGCTAGCCGGGTCTAGAGACATATAGTTAAGGGGGAATCAATCTCCTTGAGTTGGTCAAGGAGTCTTTGAACTTCCCTGGCGGTGGTCAAAGAGGTGCCAATAGAATAGCCACTGAACAGTGTTTCTAGCAAAGACATGATGGCTAGGATAAAGATGTGTATTATGTTGTCAGAGACCTTTGGATGTGAGAGATCACGGCTGACAACTCGTAGGAAGAAAGCGGCTGGCTATCTATAAGCCAAGGATGACCACCTCTATGAGGAGTATATAGTAAAGAATGAAGCTGTGTATTATCTATTAGAGTAAGCCTTCTAGGTATCTCTGCATTTGCGTGATCCTCAACGGCCTTTCGAATCAGCAACTAAAAGCAGTTATGCTGATACGCAGTGCTGCAATTGGATTCAAACAACATATACACCCGATTTTAGGCCGCGCGACATGGGTGGATTTCCCTTGCCGCTTTTTGCTCACTGAGTAAAACTGAGCACGCCCCTAAGTATTACGTAATCAATAGACCCGCTCACTGGGCATCACATGAGTATTACATAAGCTAGATAACTCGCTCACTGAGCGTCACCTGAGCAGCCTGATCCCACTCACTGAGCACGACCTGATTATTACATAAGCTCAAGGACTTGCTCACTAGTTAACGTATCCGGTAAGCGAGTGGGCCATGTAAGCCAGTGGGCCATCCCAAAACACATCATGCCCGGGATGGGCATGCCCGTGGGCCGTGGGCGTTATGGACGGGCACTCGAAAATCTAAATAGCCCACCGCCCACCGTGGACGGGCGATGTCGTAGTCTAGGTCTAACCCAGTCTGGGTTGGGTCTGGATTTTACTGGGTCGTGCGGAAGACTAGGTTGGGATAATTGTATTTGAAGTCAGTAGGTTGGGTGGGGGTGGCCACTCGCTTGTGAAATACGTTAACTAGAGTACTGCCTGCTTTCGGAGGTAGTCGGTTCAGACTGCCAAGGCTAGAATGACCCACTCCGACGGATTCAGTCGAGCGTGGGGAAAATCGAAATTGCTAGGAGGTCTGCACTTGTTACTAAGTAAGATTACCGTACAATGTGGGGTAACATCACGGAGAAAGCCAGGGCCCCAGATATCTGGGAATTGTTGAGATAGTAACTTTTGTAGAAGCAGACAAATAGCCCAAATATGTAATGTATTTCCCTGCAAGTCCACCCCCATATGTTTGCGGGGATGTACAAGTCAGGCCGCCAGATATAATCCTCTCAAGTAGTCGACTGCAGTGGTTCCCAACCTTAGGAACTTGAGTCAAAATGACAAATCGAATCCATACCGATGTCTCCTCGCGCCTAATGATGGCTGTAGGGGTAGTCGTTGTTATTTGGATCCTCGCATATGTTATAAATCTATTACTGGATCCCCTTCGAGATATCCCAGGTCCTCTAGGGGCCAGATTTTCTCGATTTTGGTACCTGCGTGCAATCAGCAATGGAGATTTTGAGAAAAGGAATATCGACCTCCATCGAGTCTACGGTATGGGCCTATTTTCCCTGTGGAGGTGGAGTCGGCGCTTATACCTTGTGTTGGTTTACAGGACCGATTGTCCGGATAGCTCCCCGGCAATATAGCCTTGACGATCCTAAGGTGCTTCGCACGATCTACTCACATTCCTCAACGTTTACCAAGGTATGTATATTGCCTGGAGTTAATGGCCTTGTCCGGACCATATGATAACCATGTACACTCAGGCAGCATGGTACGATGCCAGTGGGAATCCGAATCCCGAATCCCATGACCTGTTCACGGATAGGGATCCGCGACGCCATAGTGCCAATCGACGAAAAGTCGCCTCGCTGTACAGCATGACCAGCCTTGTACAGATGGAGTCCTGCGTAGTGGAGTGTTCTGCCCTGTTGATACAGAAGCTTACAGGGTTTGCGGAATCTGGTCGTCCATTTAACCTGCAACACTGGATGCAGTACTATGCCTTTGATGCGATTGGGCTTATTACTGTAGGATGAGCCACAAAATGCATATCCGAGAAACAGAAATGCTAATAGCGAGCCCAGGTCAATAAGAGATTTGGATTCCTCGATAGCGGTACAGATCAGAACTCGTTGATTGCTTCCCTTCACGCTTACCTTATATATGCTGCCAACGTCGGCGTTTACGCGGAGTGGCATCCATTCCTGGCCAAGATTGTGGCTCTTCTTCCATCCCCAGGGATGGGGCACCTGCAAGGCTTCACAGCGCATCATATTGCAGAAGGCCAAGCCAATTTCTCGGCGAAGGCGAGTAACCTGCCCTCCTCTGACAGTTTCCTGGAGAAGCTTTTAAAGATGCATGCGCAAAATCCAGAAAAGATCAGCTTGGCGGACATCTTCACTACCTGTATCACCAATGTCGGGGCAGGTTCCGACACAACCTCCATCTCGCTTACAGCGCTCCTATACAACTTATCCAAACATTCAAGTATCCATCGAAAGGTACCTTACTTCGTCTTTGCCTAACGTAGCAGGCTAATGACCCTCACTCTAGCTCCGCGAGGAAATCGAACTAGCCGATAAGCAGGGCAAGCTGTCTTCACCTGCTATAACTTTCCAAGAGTCTCAGAATCTACCATATCTTCAAGCCTGCATCAAAGAGGCTCTGCGTTTACATCCTGCGACCGGGCTCCCTCTTGCTCGGGTTGTCCCAAAGGGTGGTGCGACTCTATCTGGCAGATTCTTTCCTGAAGGTGTAGGTTAATTGAAACTCACGCCGCCATTTATATCACCGCCGACGCATACTAATATTGAACCTGTTTAGGAAATCGTCGGTGTGAACGCATGGGTTATCCATCAGAACGAGTCGGTGTTTGGTCCTGACACGGCATCGTACCGCCCAGAAAGATGGTTAGAGGACCCAGCCCGGTCCTCGGAAATGGACCGTGGTTTCCTTGCTGTGAGTTTCCTTCATCTTCCTACTCTTACCTACATCATAGATCTAGAGTTAACCAGTGCCGTTCGAGTCAGTTCGGTGCCGGGGCACGAACCTGTATCGGCAAGAACATTAGCTTGATGGAAATCGGCAAATTGGTTCCCGAGCTCGTGAGACGGTTTGACTTTGAGTTGGTCGATTCTAAGGCACCCTTAGAAACGCAGAATGTGTGGTTCGTTAAGCAAACTAATGTTGAGTGTCGCGTTAGACTGCGGAGAGAAGCTTAGGGTCTTAAGGGATTGCTGTCGGTATTCACTCCCATAACGTACTTGTGATGGAGGTGGAGATTGCCCTTCTGCAGATACCTAGCTTGACAGGTCCTGCGCCGTTTGCTTAGCCTATAAGAGGCCTCAAATTTTCATGTGTCCTACTTCTTCCCTAGAGGTCCCTAGATCTATCAAGACTTGTATTTCCCTGACTGGTTCATATGAGTAGGCGTAGACTCCCTGGGACTTGACCTGTTTGGCACGTCAATTACCACTTTGGTCAAGGAGCAGGAGTACTGGGAAATACATAGGTTCCCGTAGCGTAGATGATTTCTCGGATGTGGGAGTTTCCTTAGGGATCAAGTGTGGTCAAACTGGGCAGTGGTATTTTCAAGGTATGTGGGGTGGGACGTGTGGGGAGCCAAGACTGGGGATCCTCTCCGAGCACCTGCACCTTACCCGAATGTCATGTTACCCCAAATCCATACGAGTAAGTGAATGGCACGACAAGTCAAAACATAACGGGATATACTGGCTATTCACATACCGAGTCTCTGACCGTTCGACATTGAAGACCACAAAAGTGAAAATAAAGAGCTATTCACCCTCTTCTATTCCCTGCCATGTTTTATTAGGGCGCTTCCAGGTACCTGTTATTGCAGTATATGCTCCAACATGTCTTCCGCCGAGAGCTTCAGCGAATTAAAAAATTATAGCCAGTTCATTCACAACTCGGCCTTTATTGCCGGAGAATGGATGAAGGTGACGATACCTCGATGTCTATGGTACGGCCTTTTCGTACGCCCCTCGTTGCATTGCAAAGCGTATCTAATTCTCTTCAACTATTTGGCTGCAATATGACCGCTATTCAAATGACCAGTCAGAGCGCACATGACGCCCAACCAAAGTACTTGACCCGAGACAACAGCTGCAGCCCGTGCTTCACTACTCACTCAAATGGCACGATCTACTCATATCCCAATATAGATGCCTGTAATTTCCCCAGCCTGTGATTTTAATTGCTGAGAGCTAATCAGTAGGGCTAGTACCAACATTTCTCTGCCTCGAAAACGGCAAAGCTCTCGCCGAAGCACGCGCCAAAATTACGTACGCTGCCAGCTTCATATCCTGGTTCGTGGCTGAAGTCTCCCGCGCTTACGGCGAGGTGATCCCCTATTCGTCAAGGAGCCAGTCGGTGTGTGCAGAATTATAACGCCTTGGAGTTTTCCCGCGGCCGTAATAACTAGGAGAGTTGCGCCTACGTTAGCGGTAGGATGTGTTATTATTGTTGTTAAGTTCCCTTCTGAAACACCCTTTACGGCACTTTCTTTAGCCAAGCTAGCCATTGAGGTTGAGTTTCCTAGGAAGGTGATCCAGGTTATCCCGACGAAGGACCGAGGTGTTGCTTCTAAGTTAGAAGTTGATCCGTTTATTAGGAAGGTAAGATTCACGGGGTCCACAGGGGTCGGAAAGGCGTTAGTCAAGCTAGCTGCAGGGACAGCCAAAAGGTTAGTTTTGAATTCGGAGGGGAATGCGCCATTTGTTGTGTTTGAGGATGAAGATCTGGAATTTGCTATTGAGGGAGCTATGCGTTCCAAATGCCGCTGTTCGAGGCAGACTTGCTTGTTGAGGAGTTTACGAGGAGACTTCTTAAGCAGGTTGAAGAGCTCAAGTGTGGACCTGGCCTTGACGGAATATCTCCACAGGGCCCATTGATCCACAGAGCCGCGGTGCAGAAGGTGGAGGAGCATATTCTTCATGCTGTTAGCAAGAGTGCGTGCTGAGGTGCGAAGCGGAGGAAGTGTTGACAGGCATGCATACATGCGATGCGTGCAGGGTATGTGTTTGTCTCCGTGCAGACTTAACATTTGCCTAGTTTGTCTCGTTTGTCAGTCTCGGGGGCTTCATGTACCGCCTCCTTTCTATAGATGCATCATGATCTCTCTTCTTCGCGATTTTCCCTCCATTCCTAGTCTCGTGATCTCAACAAGAAGTATTCTAAGAGGGCTTGGTAATGGGTTCTTTTACCCAGCCCACTGTGTGGACCGGGGCAACGGTAGACATGCCGGTAGCAAAAGACGAGACTTCCGGGCCTCTGGCGCCAACCTTTGCCTCTGAGAGTAAAGAGGAAGTCGCGATGTTGGCGAATGACACGAATTTTAGCCCGGCCGGATATTTCTACTCAAAGAACATCTGCCGGGTGATGCGCATTACGCAGAAGATGCAGGTTGGAATATGCGGCGTGAATACGGGAAAGGTGGCTGCCGCAGAATCGCCATTTAGGGGCACCGAGGAGAGTGACTATGGGCTTGAGGGGAGCAAGTACAGCATACCTGAGTACCAACCCATCAAGACTGTGACCATTAGGAACATACATCACTCATACGAGATGCCGGCACCTGGATATTGAGTATCTTCCAGGTTGAATATCACAACTCCATACTTCGCCCGAATCTCGTGTACCACTATTTGAACTGGTAGGAAAAGCCCTAAATTTACCTGTGTGAGGGGGAATGTCTTATATCTTGCAATTGATTTCAAACTTTTCCGAATCAGGATGCTAAGCGTTGGCGTCTGTTATCGGAGTGTCATGTACACGCGTCTCTCATGATCTTGGATATTTCCTTCTCTTCTCTCCTCAGCTTCGATGACCGAATTGATCCGTTCCTTTCGAATGGCTCGTAATAACACCACCATCTAAAACTAAGGTGCTGGATTTCCCCAGCAAATGCGGCGTCGATTTACCAGCCACTACATGGATCATCCAAAATCTAACAACACACGTTCTCGCAATCCCTGCCTTCTGAATTATTTAAGCTGCTGGCCTTATGCCAATCAATCTGCGTGCGTAGCCTAGGTAGCATGTGGCGAATGGGTTATGCTAGGCTCTGATTGTTGTCATTCATGGTGTATGCTAATTTATCCTTTTACTAAAAGCTTACACTAACAGTGATACAGAGCATTGTTGGTGGTACCAAGGACGTTGGGAGTTCTACGCTTTCTTATGGGTCTCTGTTCTATCTCCACAATGACCTCTCGGCTGCAAAGGATATCCTGGTATGAATGAGAGCAATAGGGAGTCCGAGGTTCAAATCCTGGCCCATGGCATCACTTGGATGCGGAAAGAGGATGATCCTATTTTGTTATGTTTGCTGGACGAGAAATAATTTTGGGAGATAAGTACCGCTATGGGATAGCAAGCCCCATCCTAGGGCGGGTGGTTATGTGTGTGTGTTGACTGGATTTCCCTTTGACCCCCTCGCTATAAGGATCCAATGCTCATTATCAAACTTTGGTACGACACTGAAAACATAATGTCGAGAATAGGGCCAAGTAGTCATATTGCTAAGTCATTCCAATACAAATCCACAATTAGCCACGATGAAGCAAATCTAGGCACTGTCGGTAGAATCGCGAAAGTCCAGGTCAGACAAAAACTCCATAAAAGCAGTAATGCAATCATCAGACTTATTCGCGTAAATCTCATGCCCAGTCCCATGGATAATAACTAACTTCGCCCCTTTCACCTGTCTCGCAATCTCCAGCTGCTCCTCCAAGCCAGTAGCCGCGCTCTTCGCCGGCGCAAGGATTAGTGTCGGCACTGAAATCTGCGAAAGAAAGGGCCGTGCGTCTAATGACGAGAGAAACTCGGCATACCCTGCAAGACCCTCGCTGGAACTTAGTGCCATGTTTGATATCCACCACGCTTCGTACTTAGGGTCTGTCGCTGAGAGTGCGCCCGGGACTCGGGCAAGATGCTCTCCCCACCCTCTGGAGCCGAGTTTGCGACATGCCTCTGGCCAGCTAGAGTGGCCGAAGGAAAATAATTCCAGAGCGGCAGGCGGCAGGTGGGTTGGGCTCGAACAGATGGCCAAACTGTGCAACCGATTCGGAAATTTTGCGGCGAATGCTTCCCCTAGCATGCCGGAGGTGCTCTCCCCAATGAAGTGTACTTTTTGAAGACCGAGTTGGTCGAGGGTATCGACCAATTCAGATAAGATTGTATCAAGGGTATAAGCGTAATTGTCGCTTGGCCTCGGAGTGGATGACTCTCCATGGCCTCTAGTGTCTCGTCGAATCACCCGATATGAGCGAGCGAGGGACGGAATCCAATGGTACCAGAACGCCGAATGTCGTGCAAAGCCACCCTGGATGAGGACTGTCTGTGGCTTTCCCCAGGGGTCAGTGTAGTCATCCACGATTAGGTGCGTGGTCTGCCCGTTTGGGTGCTTCAGATGATGCGAGATAGAGTTAACGGATGTATGCATTTTTTTCTCTAATGTTCGTTGTGAAAGAGAGAAGAGAGGAGATAAGTTGGAGTGGTGTGTATTAAGTGAGTAGCTGGCACTAGCTATAGAACCTCAGAGCTAGGCAGGTGCAAATAAATATTCCACTGCGAATGGGGTTTACCCCACACAACTTCTGCAGTACTCAAGTCCTCTACAACCCAACTAAGTCTTATTGAATTGGATTACTAAGCTCTAGTTATATACCGCGAGACTTATGTATTTATAACAAAATAATTGAAACACCGATGAATGTTGGTTAAACCGAGGTTTGTGTAGATTTCAGACCCTTATATACTGTCTGGTTTACGGACAAGTTTATACGCCAAAAAGGTTCCATTGCCGCTTTACTTCCATATCTATAACCTCCTAGATATAGGATCTCTTGTATTTTTATAAAATTTTATCACCAATTGACCTCTACCACGGGACGAAAGGTTGGTGTCGCCGCTACTCTCGTAGAGAGCGTCTTTTTGAAAGGCGAGAGGTGGGGTTTGACACGCCAGGGTATGGGTGCTGCAAGTGCTTGCCATTGCATCAAGGGATATATTTCGCAGTCCTTTTAGTGCCCCTTTCGATGCAAGAGAAGTGGCGATAAGATGAGATATACCAGACGTAGCAACGGCCACCAGAATTTCAACAATAAGCAAACCCATCATTCAGGACAAGATATCACATTATTTTAATGACTGAAAGGCGTCTTGTGGATGGGGCCACCGTGCTTTCAGTATCCGTAAAGCGGCTTCGTTCACCCCACATAGTTCAGTCCCACCCAAACAGACCTATCATTTGTGAACTTGCGGAACAAATGGGATATAATTTGCGCTTTTCATCAAAGACATTTCAATCTCCATAGAGAACTAAGCGTGGATGATGACCAATACACTCCCGCCACCTTCTACCGGACAGAACTACGTCGTCGTGACCCCGATCAATGGTGGCGAAATCACACTCCCTGAACGGTCATTTGTCTCTCCAAGTGATCCAAAGGCGGTGGTTACCGTTCCATCACTGTGCTTTCTGGTAGCCCACCCTGGCGTTGAGGGTCAACGCAGACCCAGGTACCTACTCTTCGACCTAGGTCTCCGTGCCCAGCCGGATAACTATACGAAACAGCAGAAATTCCATTTGGAATCGCGTGCCCCTTATCGACTTGGCCCGGGAGTTGCTGAATCTCTACGGGATGGTGGGCTGGATCCAACTGATATTGGTACCGTCATCCTCAGTCACCTCCACTATGACCATCACGGCGACCCAGCAGACTTCCCTATGGCACAGTTTTTTGTTGGACCAGGCTCCCTCGACCTCCTTCAGAATGGACTTGGGCTTAACGCCTCTCATCAATTCTTTGATCCAAACCTATTCCGTGACGTTTCACACGTGGTCGAACTTCCGAGCCTCAGCACACCTGCTTGGAAACCGCTTGGTCCGTTCGAGGCAACGCTTGACTTGTTGGATGACCAATCTATCTACGCTGTTGATGCACCGGGCCATCTTCCTGGTCATATCAATCTTCTCTGCCGCCTCGGAGACCGCCAGTGGGTCTATCTAGGGGGGGATAGTTGTCATGATCTACGACTGCTTAGTGGGGAGCGAGAGATTGCTACGTGGGTGGATGTGCATGGAGACACAAACTGCATACACGTGGACAGGGTGCGAGCAAAAGAGACTCTTTCGAATATTAGGAGGCTGCAACAGATGGATGAGATAGACGTAGAGGTTGTCATGGCGCATGATGTGCAGTGGTGGAAGAAAAATCAACATCGGGCCTTCTCAGTGTCTCGTTAGGCGAATTTGGGTGAATTGTACGTCCACCAGAGCGACTTCAGAAAATAATACATGTATCATCAAAGCTCCAACTCATATGACTGTAACATGGTGGTGGGGGTACAAACGAAAGTTCCATTGAGGGAGTAAAATTGTGAAGTTCATGATCAAGCTAGCCTACTTTGGTAATCCTAGTTTCTCCTTCCAATCCTCGATGCCACCAATTTGACGAAATACGACTCGTGAATCCCGATCTCGACATGCCATATTCTCGCTCGCCTCGCTATACACAGCCAGCCCGGGCTCCCCAAGACGCAGCTGAGCTCCAACCCTTTTGGCCATCTCAACGGCAAGATTGAAATCCTTTTTCATCAACTGCACTTTAAATCCACCCTGATAGTCCTTGCTAGCCGGAGCATTTGGGCAAACTCCTGGCACAGGGTTCCACTTGTCGTTGATCGTGCTCTGTGCCGTGCTTTTCGTGAAAACCCTAGCTAGCACCGATGGGTCCATCCCCGACTTGATACCGATATTTAATGCTTCCGCTGTAGCAATGGCGATGAGGCCGGAGCAATAGTTATTGCAAAGTTTTGCCGTCAATCCAAGGGAGAATCCGCCACAGGGGAAGATAGACGATCCCATGGCACCTAGTAGCTCTTTCAATAGTGGCAGCTTTGGATCGTCCCCATTGCAGCCTAGCATAAAGGTTAAGGTCCCAGCGGCTGCCCCTAGAGAGCCTCCAGACACAGGAGCATCGTAGAAGGATGCCGTTGTAGATTTCCTCCGTAGGGCCTCGTTGACATCAATTGAAGTTTTTGTGTCAATTGTAGAACAGTCAACAAAAATCTTATTTTCTACCGCCGCAGATAATACTCCGTTGTCTTCGTCAAGGTAAACGGCCCGTACGTGCTTTCCTTCTGGGACAATTGTGAAAACGACATCCTATAATTATAATCAGTCACGCACCTTCATCACCGTCAAATCGGGAGACTCTACCGATCTTTCCGCAACGTTACGAGCACTCGAGCAAATGGAAACCAGGTTGGGAGCTTCTTGTTTGAAATTGTCCAGAACTTGGCTAGACACATCGTACACATGCAGTCTTGTTCCCGTTTCAAGTCTATTCAGCATGTTGAGGGCCATGGGATATCCCATAACACCCAGACCAATGAACCCAAGTGCAGGTGGTGACATTGTCTTGATAGAGCTTTTGATATTCATGGGTTTGCGATAATATCGTGTGCCCTTTGGAGTTGGCGGCATATAAAAGCTCTGGTGCGCCCAGCAGGTGGGGGAATTTGCATGTGGGGGAACTGGGTACTGAATGTGGGAGCATGCTTTCCACGCCATGCCCCATGACATAGAGATATAATAGGCGCAAATCGCCCCTTGTAGACAGAAGCTTGTAGGCAGAGACTGCATTTTCGTCCACCTCCATCTACTGAGCAACTCAAAGCAATGGCCGAAAAACCCCCTCCTTCTCTCGATGACATCCATAAACGGCTTTTCGACGAGGGCCTAAGAATCCGGTACGAAGTCGCAGGCAAGCACTACGTGGACCGATCCTTATCTTCCGCTTCTTCCTTCACCAAGCCTATGCAAGAGTTAGTCACCGAAGCATGCTGGGGCTCCGTATGGTCTCGACCTGGTCTTGATCGCAAGCAGAGATCGTTGCTGAACATCGGGATGCTGTGCGCACTCAACCGAGGTGCTGAATTAGCAGTCCATGTACGTGGCGGTGTTAATAATGGGTTAACTGAGATAGAGATTCGGGAAGCACTACTCCAAGTGGCTATTTATGTTGGCATGCCTGCTGGCCTGGAGGGATTCCGTATTGCCGAGAAGGTGCTACGGGAGATACAGGAGGAAAAGGCTCAACCCAGCCAGTGAATGTGAGAAACTATTCTTTTTGGTTGTCTTTCTTATCTTTCTGACTATGTCTTTTCGTCGAATAGTGTCTACAGACTTGGTTTACTCGGGATCACGGCGGGAAGATTAGCTATGCCTATGCATCATAGCTTTCAGAGTCGCCATTTCCGTCCGCCTACTATATACATCCTATTCTCTAAATTGAACACTTGATGTATGAAACCTTATATTTTGAGACTATGCGCTAGATATTCTCCGCAAGCCTGTAGCTACTATTTGCTATGTCGTTAGGTAAGTTATCCGAGGCATCTCAATCTCATCCACAACCACAACTGCCAGATCCACACCCGATATGCCTGTCAGGCTCCCATCCACAACATCCTTTCCCCGTTATTCCCCTTTAAAATGGAAATAGCCAAAAGTAATCTGATAGCTCCCCGCCCGTGGCCCCGGCCATAGATGACGAGGACGGACGGGGCGAAAACAACGCCCACGGGGAAGTGTTGCCCTCGAAAAGCAACAGTTGTTCTCCCACCTTTACCGAGGCTCAACCGTTCTTCGGATCGTATATCTGTATAAACTTAATGCCTCCTATCGTGCGCTCGCGGGTCCTCTCTGCGAGCCGGGCATTTCGGTAGGCGCGCAGAAGGGCCCCTGATCGGGCCAAGGCGCTCCTCCATATATGGGGAGTATACCAGTTTGGGGATTTTCTCCAAGCTCCTACTTAAAGCCGTAAACGTCATACAGCGACAGGAATAGTTTAGCATCGGGGTACACGAACGGGATCACTAATTTAACCCCCATCCCTTCCCAAAACCCTGTATCCTACCTATCTTGACACCCCCACCCCCTTAGTAAGAAGTTAGAGTTGGGATAATATACAGCCCAGATACTATAGCTCAGAGAGTGTCTGGGAACCGTTCTATGAATTATGGGTTCAAACATGATCCCTGAAAGGTTAGGGCCTCACGGGATTGAAAGCAGGATCTGAAACATGTCATCAATATTCGGAATGCAAATTAGAATACAGGCAGTAAGTGCGGGCAACGGAATGAAGGGATGAGAAGATAAGATAGCTGGGCAATAATATAGGGCAGACACACCGTTTGGAGACAAAATGATGCTGATGGACGACCAGATTCAACGGTGAAATAGAGCCCTGAAATGAAGTAATAGCGTGACGGGGTTACAAACCGTATGCTTGGGCGAAGCTGACTTGAAGAGAATTAAACTGCCCCACGTAACTATGCGCCACCGGCGGTCCCCCTCCCCCAGCTTCAACAGCCCCGTACTTTCACAAGTCCCACTCATTTGACCAATCTTCTATTCTTCTCCCTGTAAAGCTGTGGTATTTTCTTCACCCCAGTTAATATCGTCGAGCATGTTGAGGTTCCAAAGTAACTGAGGTAATTTAGTTTTCTGCTGGCTTGAGGTTAGGCACAATCAGGCAGCCCTCAAAATAATTCAATCCGCTCTACACATTGTTGCTCGCACAGTGCAGACACTTTTGATGCTACCAACAACGCCCCACTTTGTTTCTAAAGGTATTTGGACTTGAGTTCATACATCTGACTGCAATGGACGTATAGTAAGAAGATCATGCATTTATTGAAGTTGACTTCTTGCTTTCATAAAATGAGTCGCTGGATTTTTGACACTAAGAACAATATGACTCCCACGCCTATACTTTTTGCCATTACAGTAACATAATGATTACATAGCGGTCTCTCCTAGTAAATGGAATTATCTAGATATCAAAGTGCGACTTGTATAAATTGATGTGGGCCTAACCGGGGTCATTGAAGTGGGGGTCATTGAAGTGGGGGTCATTGAAGTGGGTTAAGTAGGGGGTAATGACCAGTATAAAACGTTATTGCGCGCATAATACACAACAAATTCTTTGATCACGAAATCCAATTAGGGCGCTGTACTTAGACCTGCTGGAAACACCCAAATATTTATAATCATGCCTCACAAGGCCATCTGGGTGAACTCTGATGCAACGCAAGAGGTTAAAAGCATCCCCGGCGATTATAAACCTCCAAAAGGTGATCTGTTATTGAAGACTATCTGCGTCGCAGTAAACCCAGGAGACTTCAAGTAGGCAAATCTTTTCCCAAATTGCGCACATACCCCTTGTTACTAGTGTCAGTCGCTGATTGTACACAATTGAATGTTAGGCATCCCGAAACCTTCGGAGCAGTCAATACTGTTGAGGGGTTCGATGCCGTTGGTGAAGTCATAGGGATAGGACCGGAAACAGAAGGATTCAAAATCGGGGAGAAAGTGCTGACCTTTGCTAGAGGGATCGGACCAGGTGCGTTTGAACCTTCAGCAGTACGCCTGAATGATAAAATATAGTTCTGCTTACATTTTGCCTATAGCTGAATGGGGAGCTTCACAAGAGTTCTTCTTGGCACTTGCTGCAACTTGCTGGAATTTTGACGAATCAAAACTTAGTGAAGACCAGGCAGCAACAATTCCTTTGGCCTTGTTCACAGCCTGTGATGGCCTGTATAACAGAATAAGGCCCCCCTTCCACTACCTTGGGAAAAAGGCTGCGACGTGCCCATTTTGCTGTGGGGGGCGTCAAGCCAGGTTGGTATTCAAGCAATACAGTTTGCCAAATTTAGCGGTTGTCATCCCATAATTGTTACAGCATCTCCAAAGGTACTGCACCCCATTTGAGACAGACGGGAATTGGGCTTACTCCTAGGTAGCAACATGACTACTTGAGAACCTTAGGGGCCGATATAGTCCTTGATTATAAGGATGAAAATATCGTGGAGAGGATTAAAGAGGCTATTCCAGGCTCTAAAAAGCTACAGCATGGTTTTAATTGTGTTGGAGCGAGTGTGGAGCTTCTTGAGGACGTTATCGACCAAGGGGGAAGCATCATCCTTTCGTTACCACCTACAGCCCAATGTCCAGGCCACCACGTCGAAATGGCTATTGCCGGGACTGTTCACAACCTGGAAACATTTAGAGTTCCAGAGTTCAAATTCCATCGAGGCGTTGAGCCGCGAGATAGCCACGGGGCCGAAGTTTTAAGATCCATTATGCATTGGACACTGAAGGAAATTGGAGTGCGGTACCAGCTTCCCAGAGTCAGGACCCTCGGTGGACGTGGAATGTATGATGCTTTTGAAGCCTTCGCACTTATGAGAGAAAATCGCATTTCAGGCGAGAAAGTTGTATGGCGAATGTCCGAGACGCCCGGCCTATTGTGATTGCGAAAACACTGTTGTCAGTTCATTAATGTGCTATCCCCAATGCTCATAAAGATCTCTCTATACACAAACTAGCTCTGAATGGATGCTCTGTATTTGGAAACTAAAGTTGAGGTGCGGATTTTCTTCAGTGGCAATTCCATATTCATGTACAAGAATATCCAGCATTGAGTAATTTATTCTATACAGTACTTCTTCCATCCGTTCTTCGTAATTTGGCATCCTATGCGAGCAACATATCCATGTGAGCAATCAGTGGGCGGGCAACCTGGTTTGTTGGATGGAACACCAGACGAAGCCAGAATAGGCAGAAATCAGATGCGGCATGCTACATACAGATAAATGTGATGGTATATAACATTGTGCTGTTGAGGCTCATTTTTCTAGTAGAACAGCTTTATCTATTCTTGCCGATTTCCAATTGAAACGAAACAGTATAGAACCATTTACGTGCATGTCTGGGACACGACGACTGGCACGCTCCAACGGTCTTCGATGCTAAAGGAGCAAGTATTGACTTTGAAATTGCTCAAGGTGTTCATTTATAGCCGAGCTTGGTAAGAGCAATGAACTATCGAGTCTAAGTAAAATAGTGAAATTGAAAGTGTGAGCCGAAATACATCAAGATAGTCATGTGACTATATTGGGGGTAAATATATACATGATTACAAAACATGCTAAACCTACCACTTACAATATAATGTCTACCAGTCGCATCAATAAACTTATTATAAGCATGACATATTCATTATACTGCCACAAAAGAGGATACACCTTTATTATGATCAATTGTCTACTATACTAGTGGTTATCAAGGGTAGGTGATAGATTTCCAAACGTTGAACCCCCTAGCTAAGTAGTTATCACCTGATCATCCCATAAGCACCCTGATCCACTCACTGATCATAATCTAGGCACTCTGATTTGCTCATTGAGTGCTCATTGGAATAGGCGGACTGAGTAAGCTATATCAACTCCACTCAATGATCTAAGACAATCCGGAAGATTTAGAGGTCATGGAAGGTTCCCTTCAATTCTTTACACCTGACTAGAATGGATATTCTGCGCTTTGTTAAGGTCTAATCTAAAGGTCAAGGGTACTGGTGCCTTTAACGAAGCAAATAACAACAACTAAATTTCGGCTGGTTTTCGGCTATCACATTGACAGAGTAGCGGACAAAGAGCATAAGAGGAACCACGCGGACCCAGCAGAAATGATACAAAGTGACAAATGAACCAATATGAGCATGGCTAAAGTAGTTACAGCTTCGTGGTAGATGATGAGGGGGTTACTCCATTACCCTCAGACGATATCCTATCTCCAGTGACTTCCCAGCCCCTTCCTCTGTATCTTGCGGGCCAGATGCCACTCCGCCCTGGTGCCAGGATTCCGTTTGGATCCAGGCAGTCCTTCAGCTTTTCGTTGAATCTCATGAGCGCGTTATCGTTCCAGGAGTAAGTTCCTGCAACTTGATCACTCAAGAGTAAATGAGTACGATATTCACCATACCCTTTCTGCGCAGCTTCGTCAATAAGGAATCTCATTACCTCCAGTGCTGTGGAGCGCTGCTTAAGGTCGTCCCGGTCATACACACACTCCACAATCAGATGGAGCTCGCGTAATCCAACGACGAAGTCAAGGAAAAAGTCCAGCCCAGATGCAATCCAGTGTTTCTTGGCCATCTGCCACAATCGCAGCGCATCGACGCCACGAGTAGGCGCCACGGGACTAAAAGCAATATGTCCACCATTAGGCCTCCAGTTGACCCAAGCAAGCTCTTCTAGGTCTGGCTCCCCACTTGCAATCTTGTCGCGAGACCAGAAATAATCGCTAGGTGGTAACACCTTAGGGTCAATCCGTCTTGCACCAGGAACTTTCATAAATTGGCGGTGGATGATATCAAGCTTCAGCTGGCGTGTTTCCTTAGGTCCGTAACATGTACCGAAATATAACCAGGTACATGCACCATAAGGGTGGTTTTTCAGGTACTCGTTCATTTTCTCACGAGGGAAAGGGCCTTCCCCTCCATAAAATGCCGATCGAGGTTTTCCCGATAGGGCGAGAACTTGCAACGCATGACGGATGTTTGCCGCATTTTCAAGGATCATAGCAATTCGTAGGGGGCGTACTATTTCCACAAGTTGCTCCAAATCATCTTCTTTCTCAAAGGTATACAACTATAGTAGAAACGTTAATTCAAGACTTGTGACGCAATTACTAGCTAACTCACAAAGCTTTCGTGGCCACCTGGATTCGGCATCAAACCAAATCCCATCTTAGTCACGATACCGTAGTTTGATTGCGAGAATATGCCACTAAAAAGGTATGTCAGGTAAATCCGGTCAGCAAAACCTTCAGGGTTAAACGTACTCGATGAAAGGACCAAAGCCGTAAGGAAACACCTGCCAAGTGTTATTTCCTGGTAGGGCGCCCATCCCGGTCCGGACCACCTCGCCGGTCGGTTTGACGACCTCAAGGCCGGAATGCATTGCCCAATGGTCTCCGTACGGTGTGTACCCAACCCCATGGTCAAGGGCATTCCCTAGCACGGAGCCACCCCCTAGGTCAGGAACGTCAATCCAGAGGTGCTTGTAGCCACGCCTCTGCACTTCTTCATATAGTGCGTAATAGGATACACCTGGTTCGACCAGGCAGGTGCTATCGTCGGGGTTGATGTCGAGAATCTTGTTCATGCGCTTCCCGAGGTCGATCACGACAGCCCCACGCACGCGTGGCGCCGCTCCGCCATAACCAACTATAGATAATTGCTGGTTAGGTGGTGCTATCACGTTGGAGAGAATTCGAAGTTGACATACAGTTTCGGCCCATTGAAATGGGGTGCAAAGGAATGAGATACTTGTTTGCCCAATGAACGATTTTCTGTACATCATCCGTACTACCCGGGTAGACCACCGCAGAAGCGACTAGTTCTTCCTCGTCTGTGATAGCCATTCCGTCATGTGTATTTGGAGCTAATTCAAACGGTGTCAGTTAAAGTATGATCGATGCCTTTACAGGAACCGTCACTTACGCTCCATGTACCTGTCTAATGTTTTAGTATTCTGCTTATAGATTATCTTGTCTAGAGTATAGGTATCTTACCAGCCATCATCAAGAGGTTTATCATTGACTTCGACGTTTTCATTGCCCAACTGGCTTGATAGTTCATCAATAGCGAAGAAAAACCGCGATCGCTCGATTCCTTGTGGTATCACGGGCAAGCATCTTCTAGGCCGGGGCCGCTTGGTCGCAATGTCTTGTATGAGGCCTTTTGCGCGATGCGCTTTATGTAACAGGCGCGCTGGTACCCCATTGTGCTTCTCTTCAAGCGTGGGAATGGAACTTGGGCTATCGGATGACATGATCTAAATCGTTTGAGCTCGTAAGATTGACGACACCTATAACAAATCCGAATTGATGGATGGCCGTTATATATATTCAAGCTTCCGAAATGGAGGGACAAAAGTTCCCCATACTTAACCCCATTCTTCCAGACCTAGCTCGCTTACAGATTAAATGTTCATTGCCCTTGAAATTACCCCATACCCCACGTATCAAGAATGCACACAATTCTGGGGCGCAGAGGTGGGGTATCTCGTCTTGGTCAGCCAGATGGCTATCTACACCCCACATTCACCACCACTTACTTGTATCACCGTCATCTGTTGAAGGCCATACCTCATAATCAAGGTACCTGCTATTGAGAAGACCTCGGCTTTCAAGGTCTTCACATCTCTTAAAATGTCTGATCCAGTTGCCGTCATCACCGGCGCGTCGTCGGGCATGGGACTTGCTGTGACGAAACACCTGGTTACAAAAGGATGGCGAGTCGCCATGGCCGATATTGATGAAAAAACCGGACGGAGGCTTGCAACCGAGCTTGGAGACCAAGTGCTCTTTTGCCACACGGATGTCACTTCGTACTCGCAACAAGCAAACTTATTCAGAGAGGCCTTCTCGTGGGGAGGCAAGAGGCTAGATCTTTTCGCCGCGAATGCCGGGATTGCTGAGGCCCAATTTCTCCAACGAAATGAATACTATTATGACGAAAATGGCTTGCCGCTGCCCCTGAATCTCAAAACTTTGGATGTGAACCTCAACGCGGTCATACAGGGGATTTGGCTCTTCAAACACTACGCCCTGCAAAACAAAAATATTGGCGGGAAAGTCATCATTACTTCGTCATGCGCAGGGCTATATCCTATGGAAACAAATCCCATATACACAGCCTCTAAGCATGCACTGGTCGGGCTTGCTAGGGCACTGGGACCGGTCCTCCACAGGCAGAATATCCAGGTAAATGCCATTTGCCCAGCATTTGTACCGACTGCTCTATGTCCGAAAGAGATGCTAGATCGCTTTCCAAAGGAGCATATCACTCCAATGTCGACTGTTATCAAAACATATGATACCTTTCTCGGAGACAACACCATCTACGGGCAGATCGTTGAACTCAGTTTGGATCAGCTGTATTTCCGCACCAAACCCGACTACCCGAACGAAAGTCAACGCTGGTTGGGAGAAGAATCAGCTACCTTCTGGGAAGAAGCTTATAGGACGGATACGTTGTGATGTCTTGATTATCAGGCATGCGACTAAGGAGAAGAAGGCCGCAGCGAATCTTCATCTTTCGTCAGAACCAACCTGAATTTCGTTGTTGTGGACAAACAGGAGGGCAAGTTCTGGTCATGCTCCCGAGAGATCAATCTTCGTATATAGTAGCTAGCTAGACAACACAGCATGCATCATCTGCTTCGATAAATCACCTCGAATATGTAACGTCTGGGTCACAGGTCTTCACGAGGGTATTTTAACCCCCCCCCCCGGGATCCCAGCAGCTCAGAGCCGCAATGAAAATTGCTCGTTTCTTCTTTTGATTTCACCTTTTCATTTCGTTGCTCTAAATGCTAGTAAATGCACTGTATCTCTATAGCTATACAGGCCATTCCTGATATATTCTCTATGATTTAACATCTCCATCGTATACGCCAATGTCATCAGGCCCCGGCTAAGCCCGGTGAGATGCACCCTCTGCCAGCTGTCCAGTGATACTCGCATTCACATTCCGCGCGACTTGGGATTGGCCCTTGACGTCAGTGAATATTGAATGGCAGCCCAACATCATCACGCGCCCTCATTTTCCTGTTTCTTAGAGTATCACCAGTATGAGCCTATCCAGAACACCGAGATAATCTAGACAAGGAGACTGACATGAACTCTAGCCACTCAAACATGCGCAAAGCCATCCCCAGGACGCATATTGTCCTGAAATTGAATGTTGCCCGTGGTCTGCATAAAGGACACATAGAGTGGTGCACTTTGGGTGCTTAGATCAATGACTCTATAATTTGGTTCGAAGCCAAAATTCTGACGACTGCTCACTTTCCAAGTCAAAAAATAAGTGAGAAGGTATTGATGGTATTGATACAGCCACAACACATACTGTATGTCAGGTCAGAGTGGGACTATTATCAGCTGGTGAAATACTTTCACAGCGACTAGCTGGTCTCTGATTTGTGTATTTTGGGCCCGGGCATTTAAAGGTACATATTCCTTTTGACGCTAGGTATCTAGCCACAATGTCGTGCTCCTATATAACCTAAATTCCATCCTCCGAACTGTACCACCATGCCCGCACGAGCTTTCCAAAACTCCACATAGGAACGGTTGTGAGGCATAATGCAGCCTGTATACCGCCTATGCAATAGAACATCCTGGCTGGACCCCATTCGACAATCCATGTATTAAGGAAGACTGTGGTAGTTAGAATTGAACTCGAAGGATTAGCGATTTGGATAACGTACATGAGAACCCAAAAAATAGAAAGTTCTTGATGACCATGGTCGCAATGAAAGCTTCAATGTTTATGTCGCGGTAGGAGTCAACAATGTATGTCCCGACAGCGGTCATGATGAATTGGAGACTTGCCGCACTGACTCCCCATAAGGTTGACATTATAACAGGGCCTTTGCCCGCCTCGGCGAGATATCCAAAAGGGAGATATCCAATGGCGGATGTGATAAATGCAGGAATAATGAGCAACAAACGAAATTCTGGCTCGTAAACGCCTTTATTCCTGCGAGATGCCCACTCAATAATAGGGTCAGACATGGCACCTGCCGCGATTGACCCAAGTAAGCCGCCAACTGCGGGCCCAGCAGACATATAGCCAAGCTCCACAGTATCGAGCAGATAAGGGGGAGCAGAAAAGATCTGAGCAATCAGGAGGTTGATAGCGACAAGCCACAAAGTGGGGAAGGATATCAAGAGGACGGCCCAAATGACGGCCGGGTTGGAAAGGACAATGAATGGTTCAATAAGGAGCCACCAGAGAGATTTCGATGTGTACTCGCCAGACCAGGGAGTTAATAGTCGCACAATCGATTTTCGAGGAAGTAAAGAGCCGGTATGACGAGTAATAGTGTCGAAAGCCTCTCTGGCGTCCTCGACCTGGACTGCATCTGCTGCTGTCGCATGTTTGTTATCCAAATTCTAAGATAGGTCAGAAAGGTCATTGAAGGAAGGCTCAACGTCTGTAGCAACCTACGTCTTCTGTGTTATGGATCGTGTTGCGGACGTAAGCTGTCTCCCATCCAAAGAGAAGAGCCAACACCAGACCAATCCCAAGAAAGACAGCCAGTAGCCAAAATACCCACCGCCATCCAAGACTCATTGCAATCTTCCCAGCAAGAACGGGCGGAAGATTGGATATACCGACGATGCAGGTTGTCATAACAGCGACACGGATGCCGCGCTCATGAACGTAGTAGAGATCCCCTATAATTGAAAATACGACGGATTCAAACACGGCAACCGATAGACCTTGGAGGATACGAGCGCCAAGGAGCGAGTCGTAAGAGGTGGCATATCCTCCCCAGATAGTGCCACCAAGGGCGCAAGCCAACGAAAATAGAAAGATCAAGCGTTTGCCATACTTGTTGGCGACGGCTGAGATGAAGATACCAGAAGCCCCAGTGGCGCAAAGACTATAGCCCGTCAGAAGAGAGACTTTAGTGAACGAGACGTCGAAGAGAAGCGATAGTTCTAGCGCCAGAGACGACAGGATCGGTCCAATACTGTATGATAGGAAGTGAACATTCAGCCAAGCTCCAACAATGATTTGCCCCTCAGGCGAAGACGTACCCTCCGACAATAAGCAGCGTGCAGTAGCCGTAAAGAAGCGCGATCAGATCTCGCACCCAAAGCGGCCAATTCAAAGGATCGTTTTGGTCGTCCGAAGGCTGTGGCACTAGAATGATTGTTTTGCCGTGATGTTTGGTTGTCTTAACGTTGTGAAAGACAGTGTGGTCACCATTGGAATCGCTTAGCAAGACAGTCCCCGGCACCTGCTGTCGATACCTAGTTTCAAATATTCCCCAAGCCATTATAACAGTTCAGGAAGGTGTGATTGGTTCGAAAATCGGGAGATGTAGGTGCTGTAGACCTGGATACACTTGAGGGGGATTATTGACCCTGTATGTGTATATATATAGTAATTCAACCGGCCAAGGGGCGTCGCGTAATATCGACAGGCCGGTTTTCTCTTCGATTACCAATACATCTAACTCTAAGGACTCAAGGTCTCATTGGTCATGTGCAGACGTAAGGTTTCAGCCAGGCGGAGGATTGGATTGTCCCAAGTACGATAGTGGATGTTGACACATCTGTGGGGTAATAAGCTCAACTTATTAGGTTCTACTGGGGTACCCAGTCAAATAATCCGGGGTACATGCACAAATTCTGAACTCTGTGATTCGCTAAGCCTTGTCTGAATACCAAACTGTTGCATACCACCTCCCCCACCTTCTCCAACCCGTACCTTGAAAATAGGTCGTGGGGTACAATGTGGGGGTTATTTGAGATGCTTTCATCAGTGCAACTCAATGTGGCTTTCATCCCCACCACAAGTATATAAACAGCTAGAGAAAGCTGGTAGATTTAGTTGATTCAATCGATTAACAAGGCATGTCTGTTTATTCTTTTGACAAAGAGCAGCTCCAGAACCTGCGTGGTCGGACTATCCTGATCACTGGCGCAGCCAGTGGAATTGGACGAGCGGCAGCTCAGATTGCAAATGGTAGAGAAATCCAAAGTTTAATTGATATTCCTACTAACACAAGCACATAGGCCATGGCGCAAATCTTATATTAGGGGACTTGGACGTGCAGGAAGGGGACAGGCTTGTGAACGAACTCCAAGGGTACCACCGCCGATCCACTATGCTGCGCACTAAAAGCTCATCCCATCTAACACCCTCCCTGACAGACCGGTCTTGTTTCGTAAAACTGATATATCTAAATGGGATGATGTTCTATCGCTTTTTGAAGCAGGGGTCAAGGAGTTCGGCATAATCCACTCTGTTCTTGCAAACGCGGGAATGAATAAAGAAGACCTACTCGCAGAAGATCTTGACGGAAATGGCAGGCTCCTTCCGCCCAATTTAGGGAGTATCAATGTGAATTTAGTTGGTGCAATCTACACAGTCAAAAGTGCTGTGCACTTCTTCAGCAAGTGGCCGGAGACAAAGTGCCAGATTGTCTTGACAGCAAGCGCAGCCAGTTACCTCGACACCCCTCCACTGTACCTATACTCTGCGGCGAAGACGGGTGTACTGGGCCTTATGCGTGGATTGAGGTCTCAACTTATCAGGCAAAACATCACCATCAATGTTGTGGCACCATGGATGACCAGTAAGAACTTTCCAATCTCGGAAGGTGATAGAGGCACGGGTGAAGAGCAGCTCTAATTTTCACTCCTCTAGTTACGAATATGGTCCCTCCCTCGCTGGTTACTTTGTGGGGTAATCTCCCCGCCAACCAGCCCTGGGGAGTTGCTCATGCTCTTCTCCTACCAATTCTACAACCTGAGATTAACGGCAAGGCCTTCTTTGTGGCTGGTCATAGAATCATAGATTTGGAAGACACGCTGATGGAGACGCAACCATTGTGGATGGGGGAGCAGTTGAGCAGTGATATTGCAGAGGGACAGCGAAGATTGCCAACTTGACTCATGTCAAAGATAGATGTACCTAAAACTAGCCCTAAATACACCCATTTTCCATCTACAGAGCTTTATTGATGCCAGCGCCATATAAAACCCTTGCTGTTTTGTAATTGCTTTTATTATATTCCAGAGTGCCGTTTCTACTAGCGTTTCGTTTGACTACTTCTATGGCATGTCTAATTTCACCAGCTAATTTGGGCTATCTCAGCCTCAGCAAGCAAGTCCTCACGCGTAGTATCCGGACGGGACTGAATAGCATTATATATACGATCTCGGTCCTCTTCAGTAAGCTTCCGAGAGGGGCCGGGGCGAGATATTGAAATACGATGCACGCACCTTGCTTCCTGGCGTAGGTAGACTGAACAGTTGAGAAAGGAATATGAGGGTATGCATGCTTTTGAACGCGTTTAGCACCCCACTTTGCTAAGCGCTTTAGCTCACATATACGCCCACGAACGTACGGTGGAAACTCCAGCCCCAGGCCATAGTAGTATAGAGTATAGGAAAGAATTAGAAAGGTAAAAAAAGGGGGAAAGGAGGTAGTAACTGTTGACATGCATGCATGCGATGCGGGCAGGTTTGCGTTGTAAAAGTCTGTGCAGACTAAGAATTTGCCTAGTTTGTCGCGTTTTTCATTCTCGGAGGCTTCATATACAGCCTCCTTTTCATAGATTCATATCACATCTTTACAGCAATACAGGGAATTGAACACCATTGATTGGACCCCTACATTTTACAATACGGCCCACGCCGACAAACATAACTAGCCTGACAAACCAGGCAGCCACCTAGGTCATAACGTATTCGGTAAGCGAGCTGCGCAGCCCAAAACACATAGTAAAAGCGATAAATTACAACATGATATTGCATCAACGGTTGTGTATATGAACTTTTCCTTATAGCCTAATACATTTTATTGATATCTAGCTATCATATAGACTATAGGAATTTAATAGATTTTTGATAGAGATATAAATATTTCTCAGGTGTAGCAATGTTTATTTTGATACCATGACAATGCATGTTTTTGATTTAGGCGAAACTGTTATATAGCACTAAAAATGCTTATCGGTTGCTATCGGCAAGAAATTCAATATGATAAAAACGCTGGTTGTTGAAATATAAATGACAAGTGCATCACTTTTACTATGTGTTTTGGGCTGCGCAGCTGGCTTGCGCGCGTAGCTCGCTTACCGAATACGTTAACTAGTGATGGCAAGGCTCCAACAACAACAACACAAATCCTTGAAAGATCTAGCGAAACGAGATCAAAGAGCAAAGAAAGATCTGCCAAAAACCTGCATGAAGGCATTGCCCGCATGAATGCATCAGACTAAAGTCTCATCACAGGTTTTCTACAGTGTCTTTCGGTTCCTTGTAGTGTTGAGTGAAATCATACTTTAACGCATTTATACCCAGCGCCATCTCCTTAGCAAACCCAACATCATTCTCAGTCTTCTTGCACAGTGTCATAAGCTCATCCTGGCCTGGGTTGAGAATTGTATCAGGATCACTCTCAAACATGCGTCGCAAATTTCCACTGGACATAGGGTCAACCATATCGCTGTACTTCTGTCTTCTCACTTGATCGTAGACGTCCAAAATGTCCGGGTTTGCCTGATTGTTCCAGATGCCAACCAAGCAGTCACTCAATCCGCCGACATCAACAATCCCCCCAGTCAGTCCAAGTCCACCGCTGTCAGAGAATTAGACATTGTGTCATTGAGCACCAGAGAACATGGTTTGAGAACAGGGATAGGCTTACAAAGGGTTGCATAAATGGGCAGCATCCGCAGCCAGAAGAAACCTCCCCTCCCTCATTTTCTGGGCTAGCCGCTGATGCACACGGTAGGGACTGAAGTTTGCGAGCTTGTATTCCTTTGGAGATGGATTCCCGGGCAGCATCTCCCGGAACTTGGTAGGCTGGCGAGCGACAAGCTCGTCATGCGTCAGGCCACTCTTCTCTCCGTATGAAACACGCCACATGCCGTCCTTGCTGATACGAGAAGCCATATGCCAATGTTCCGGATGGATTATGAAGTTAGCATCCTCGTATCCATACTTATCAAAATCATAGTAAACGTTGGTTGCGACGATCTGCTCGTCCCATGTAGTTCCAGGGAACGTCCAGTCACCATGCAAAGATCGCCGGATTTGGGAGCTGGCTCCATCACATCCGACAATGTAATCAGCCTCCATGCTAACTTCACCGGCGGGTGTAGTAACTTTGACCCATGCTTTATCATCATCCTGTCCTATGTCGGTGACGCGGTGATTCCATTTGATTTCGGCACTCTTTTCGCGCTCTAGATGTCGGAAAAGGATCTTTCCAAGCCGGTCCAGGGGTAGACAGACCACTCGATCCGGATGGTCACCGAGGACTGAATTGTCGATTCCAGCCAAGTAGGTTCCATCAAGCTTACGCCAGCACATCTTTTCAGGAAGGAAGCCCTCGGCTAGAACATCATAGATGACTCCTGCACGACGCAACTCATAGACGGCAGGGGGCCCGTAGTGAGTCGCCCGCGGTCGATTGTCCAGTTCTTTAGCTGCATCAAGAATAGTGACAGAGATGCCATGCTGAGCCAACAATAGTGAAAGTAGTAGTCCGGCGGGACCCGCACCGACGACGATGATCTAGTCGCAGAGACAGTTAGATCGTGAGACAAAGTCAACGCGGGTGAACTCCAACTCTGGTGTAAATACCTTGAAAGGCGAGCGTATCATGATGAAATAGATATCTCGATGTTTATCGCAGTATTTGAGGTCCTGTTTGGTAGAATATAAATGTTGAGATGTTGGATCGTAGATTAGTATGCAGCAATAGTACGCAACTTTCTAACCATCACCGGATAAAGAGGGAAATTGTGGGGGAGCTCAGCAGTGCCGAAAGTAATAACGCCTACTTAATCATTGAAAATCGAGGGAAATGGAAGCCCTGATCGGCAAATGGTACTATGCGTCACTTGAGGTTACCTACACCTACTAAAATCCCCCACATTGCCCGAATCTTTACCCCACAAAACAATCCTGGATGAGTTCATATAAAATATTGGCGCGAAATAGGGAATGAAAAAATTACTTCTTTGCCATCTCAATTCGGCCGATAAAATGGATACACAAGTAGATGGAGGCCTGGTTTTAATCACTGGCGTCACTGGCGTGGTCGGTGTCATTGCCCTACTCTTCGTCCGGTATGCCTACACGACCTTCCGATGGCACAAAAAGTACAAATTGCCACCGCAGGTACCAGGAGTCCCGATCTTTGGAAATAGCTTTCAAATTCCAGCCATACAACAAGGACCATGGGGCAAAATACTAGCAGAGAAATACGGGGAGATGTATGACTATAATTCCGGGCATCGGTTTTACCTCGCTAACGAACCGAACTTCAAAGGTTTACATGCAAATTTGGAGGCAGCACATGGGTTTTTCTCAACTCGTCGCGCGTGGTCACCGATCTCATGGAGCGTCGCGCGGCGATCTACAGTTCCAGGCCCCCTTTTCCTATGACACAAGGAATCATGTCAGGGGACTCTCGAATCGTCCTCATGCCTTACAACGATCGATGGCGGCTTCTACGAAAGATCATGCACCAAATTCTAAACGGCAAAAACCAAGATATTTTCCGGCCTTTCCAGGATCTTGAGTCGAAGCAACTTTGCTGGGACTACCTACATTCTCCGGAAAGATGGTGGTCTGCGAATGGACGGTACGCTAACTCTGTTATTATGAGTGTTGTCTTCGGGCGCCGGTCGCTTCTTGATGATCCAGAAGTTGCAGAGCTATTCGAAACAATTGAGCTCTTCCTAGAGAACCAACAACCTGGCGTCAACATCGTGGATGCTTTCCCAGTATTTGCCAAACTGCCAAAATTACTCCAATGGTGGAGGCCAAGAGGAGAGGCAATTTTCGAAAGAACCAAAAGGTAAACAGCGTTTCGTCCCGAGGTGTCTCGGGTCTCAAGCCACTGCGTTGTTTGAATGACTGACCTCAGAGTGCTCCATAGGGTTTACAAGCGAGAGCTCGACCGGCTCGAACAGAGGATCAAGGACGGCACTCAACGAAGATGCTTCGGGGTAGCCTTCCTCGAAAGCAAAGAAATACAACAGATAGACGACACCCAGAAGCTCTTTGTGTTTGGATCACTGATGGAAGCGGGAAGCGACACTTCGCGTGTCACAATTGGTCAAATCATTGCCGGGGCTATCTGTTACCCTGACTGGGTGGTAAAAGCGCGAAAGCAGCTCGATTCCGTGTGTGGTGCGAATGCTGAGCGACTGCCGCAGTGGGAAGACCGATCCCTACTTCCATACATTACGGCAGTCGTGAAGGAAGGATTCCGCTGGAGACCCAACATTGCTGAGATTGGTGCTCCGACTACACTAACTCGAGATGATGAGTACGAGGGATATAATTTCCCTAAGGGGACAATCTTTACCTGGAACGCGTGGGCAATAGCCTTGAACCCAGATGAATATGAAGAGCCGGAACGATTCTGGCCGGATCGATTCCTGAATGATGATTTGGACAACGCACTGAAAGGACATTGGGCTTTTGGACCTGGTATGTCCTACTAATGTCGCTTTGAGAAAATATGCTAACTCACTTGCAGGTCGACGAGTGTGTGTTGGTTGGAAGGTCGGGGAGACAAATGTGTGGATTGCCATTGCTCGCCTGCTCTACTGTTTTGACTTTCACGAGGTACCCCGGGGAGCCTATTGATACAATGCGCATTCCTCAGCTGACCAAAAATTCCCCACCATTCTCGGCTGAAGTGACCATTCGGAGCCCGGCACACGCAGCCTTGATCCGAAAGGATTGTGAGGCGGCTGCGAATGCGGTATACTAGCCTTGCCATAGGTAGACACGCTGACTGTACCACTTTCAATTATTACTCAATTCCAATTATGCAAGTGTCAAATATAGAATAACTGTATAGATACCATTTGGCCTCGGTCTGATAAGATCTACGATGTGAACGAGATCATGAAAGGCTGTACAGTATTGATTGTACTATGCAGAGAGCGATTTAAAGTACAGAGGAAAGGAAGTAGTGCAGACTATACATGGAGAGAGAGATCATGTGACATTTATTGGTGAGCCTAATCGGTTTAATTCCCGGCATTTCCGCATTCCCCGCATTTAGGCGAGACACCGCCAACTTAATTTCCCCACACGTTCTTCTTTAGGTGTTCAATTATCAATTCTTAGAAACTGTAGCTTACGAACTGTCATAACCTTGCGGGCCGGGGTAATCCGAAACTGCATTAGCTAGGAGGGAGAGCGTCGTGGTTCCCCTTTGTCGGCTAACTCACTATGGCACCCACCAAGCAACCGAGGATCAGCGATAATGGCAAAGAGCCTAGGAGATTCACATGTGCGAGCTGCAACAAGTCTTTCAAACGCAGTGAGCACTGTGCGCGCCACGAGTTGATGCATACTCAGGAGCGGCCATTTCCTTGTCGGATGTGTGGGAAACGATATGGCCGGAAGTAAGATATCCTTCTTCAATTTTATATTTCCTGCTTGCTTCCTAATCTACGGAGTGATTCTTACCGAGTCTCAGGGACCTCCTCCGTCGCCATGAGCGTACAATTCATGCAGACCATTATGTCAACAATGCTGGCCATGACATGCCAGAGAATTCTCCTTCCTCAGATGCATCCGAGAACCCCGACCCCTGCGACCCTCCCAATATGGAAGACTCCGATAGTGAAGGTCCCGCACTGCATAATATATCGTCAATACTACCGCTGCCTCTGGGTAAAGGTCCCCTTCCACAAGAGACTCAGGACAGCGATGTCCCCTCCATGCCGGGCGAGGTAGAATCAACCCTCCAGGCTGCTCCATCAATGTATCACGCAAATGGACTTTCACTCCCTTCACGCTCTTCCATTTACCAATACGGGCTTCAGTTTCCGTCACTATCCACTGTCGGTGGCCGTGATACTCCAATGGGATGTGACCCTTTATTTATGCATTTATTACTTGGAAGCGCTCCGGATGCGACCCAATATACTGGCATAGGCGACATAAACGGAGTTGTCTCAACCACAAATGGAGAGCACCAGTTACCGCACCAGTTACCGCCTACCTCGACTTCATCACAAGATGTTAATCAGACAAATCCATCAGCGGAACATCCAATAGGAGCAGCATGGGGTACGACACTAGGAGATGGCTTTCTCGACGGCCTAGGCTCTCTGGACTTTGAAATGGATCTAGGGACATCGCCTTCACATACGTGGTCTAGGGATCCAAGTAACCTGACACAAAGTCTTCCCACCATACTCCAAGAGAAGTCTGTTCTGTCTCCGCGATATTTAATCAACGAAACACACTTCGAAAGGATCCACAGAGATGCCTCCGTGCAACTCGGAAACCCTGACCCCGATTGCAACTTTTTTAAACTTAATGAACTACAGCAGTTTATCAAGAGTTATATCGAATGTTTTCACATACATCTGCCTTTCATTCATTTACCATCCTTTTCCCCCTCAATACGCCATCTCCCTTAATACTTGCAATGGCAAGCATTGGTGCACTGTACCGTCTGAGGCGGCGTCGTGCGTATGACCTTTTCAGGTTGTCAGAGACAATAGTAAGCCTTCGGATTGGGCATCGGTCTTCTGGATAAGGGTTAACTGACTCCCATATATATTTCATCTGCAGCCACCTCGAAACCAAATGGCACGTCTCGGTCTCCGTTGTGGGTCTTGCAAACTAAGATTCTCCTAACTATGTTTGCTGTATTCAGCCATCGGCAGAGTCTTGCTAAGGAAATGTTCGGCAAAATTGGTTTTATGATGCTGGTCCGTTCATTCTAGCCCATCCTTCGCATTTATTCCATTTTGATGAGAGACTTACCCTTCAATAGGAATACCAATGGAGGAGGATTGACTTGCAAAACCTTGTTACCAACCGCAAAACAATGACATGGTCCGATTGGATCAATTTTGAACAAACGAAAAGGGCGCTCTGTGTCATGTTTATCTTAAGTGATTTGCATATGATCACATTCAATATTACGCCCGGTTTCGTAATTGACCGGGATCTCATGATCGAAGCCCCTGATAGCAACGAGTTATGGGCGGCTAAAACATCTGAGGAATGGGAAGAAGTGCAGCGATCCCACCCCAACAGCCCACAGGATACCATTCAGAGCATTCTAGAGTGCATGATCCGGGCCCCGCCAAGTCCTCCAAATAGTGAGCCTTATTGTATAAGCGGCTTCACAGCAATAGTCGTCATGCACGCCATAAACATCTACCTTTGGCACCTGAACCAGCTTGCGCAAACTGTCAGCCGTTTCTCTCTGGGCATTTGGCCACATGAAAACTTACGAACCACATTGCTCCGAGCAGCAATCTCCACACTAGAGCGGACTGAAGCTGCCTTACAGGCGGGCCGATCATCTGATTACAAGATAGCTTGGGATGACCCAGAGCATACCCTTGTTTTCAACTGCAGTGCAGTACTTCGTGCTGGCTACTCGCGGCTTTTACCGCCATCGCATTCATTCAACCGCTTAACGCTCCTTGTGAATGACAGCGAGGCGCTGTCACGGGCAGTGAAGACATATGTAAATGTACCGCTGGAAAGGAATGAATTTGTGACCAAGGCTGCCAGCAAGGCTTACGAAGGGTTCAGGGGCCCAGTTACCATAGGTGCTACGCTTGTTAGCAAAACCGCTGCTTTCTCCTGGAGTATTGAGCACGCGGTGGCTGGGTGGGATAGTGGTGAGTCTTGTCCTCTGTCCTTACCCATTCGTCCGTTCCGTCCTACTGGGTAAATTGGCTAATTGATCTCTCTCCTCAGCCCTTCTATTGACCAAGTGGGTCCATAGCATGGAGGTAGATGTAGCCGGGCAACAGCCATCAGATGAAGAATTACAACTTCTTGACGACCTGAAATCTCTACTAGCTGAGGTGCAATACGAACACGAAACAAATGTCGAAGTTTATTCATTGGCTGCGCTTCTGGCTCGCACGTGGGCTGCCTTACTTGGCGATGTAAGTTGATACTTCACCATCTGATATTTACGTTATCTAAGGATCTGACTTTAGATTTGGGTTTGGGGGGTGACTCCCAGGATGGCGGAAATCTTGAGACTGCTCGCATTGGAATACCAGAGGCAGGCTGATTCTGTCCTGAGGAATATTGGACAATGATTACATATATTTCTATGTTGCTGTTGAAAATATACCCACGTCCTAGGGGGCATGAGTCGCCAAAGCCATTCTTGGTGTGCCCGGGTAAAATACCTTACATGTAATCCCTTTCCTCAACACCAAACCCAATTGTCACAGTTCAAATAAATACAAACAATTTAACAGTTGTAAATATTGTCCTCTTTCCTTGCCGCCTCCACTGACCTTCACACTTTAGTGGGCATGTCCGGGATGGGTATGCCCGTGGGCCTTGGGCGTTATGGACGGGCACTCTAGAAATCCAAATAGCCCACCGCCCACCATGGATGTCTATACGCTCACTAAGCGTAGTTTAAGTACTCCGTGAGCAAGACCTAAGTGCTATTCGAGTAACTAAGACTTAAGTGCTAACTAAGCATACCCTAAGCACTCACGAAGTAAACCTGAGTGCTCACTAAGCAGTCACCCTATACTATGAAATAATTAGTGAGTAGGACCCTGAGCGCCCTTATAAAGCGGCGGCACCCGGTCGGGAAATTCGTATCCGCGGCCTAAAATCTGGTACATACAGGTACATACTCGCCCGGAGTGGACATCTATAGCAAATGCAGCATCTTGGTTACATCTTTAATAGGATGGTTACTTTGGTTACATATCTCAAACCATAGCTGTTTCTCACAGGGCTGTTTGATCAGAGGATATCTTTCAAATTCAATACTCACAGAGGTAACGCCTTGCGCCATGAGCATGCTATATTCACCAAAACTATTCCAGTGAAGACATTATGGCAATGCATCCATAAGTCCGGGGGAAACTCAAGGTTGCAGCCAAAACAAAGAAGACTTGGTGCTTTATTGCGAAATATTAAACAGACGAGCGGCCCAAAATCGACCCAGCCACCCAGATGGCGGTGCATGCACCAACAACAGAGATGCCAACTAACCGCTTGCCCCAGTCGCTGTCTTCCGCCATTTTGGTCGGTCCAACAGTGCTCTTCAGCTTCAGATGCAAAGGTGATGAATGCAGGTCTTCAGTGACATTTCCAGCGTGATCACCAAGTATGGCTGAATATTCCTCATCACGCTTTTGCCACTTCTCTACAAGCCGCGCAATTTCAGCCAAATCTTCCTTGAGAGACCCAGGCTCAGTGGCATTGGCATTCTCCACTTCCACGTTCTGGACATTGCCGAAGAAATCAACCACAGTCCGCAGGCGGCCTTCTTGCTCGCCTCCAGGGAACAGATCCCACCGGACACCCGGCTGGGAGTGGATCTTCGACTCATCGTAAGAATCGAATAAGTCTCCCAGGTTGAGTTTAGAAGTGACACTTGTGACTTGTGTCTCGAGGAATTCGAGAACATAGTATGTCCAGCGATCAATGACAGCGACGCCGACGTCGTTGTCCGCGTGGTGGGAATATGAAGACTGGTCGATCTCGCTGGAACCTGTCGCCACGATGTTGGGCGAGTAGAAATGTGTGTACATCGTATTGGCCTGGCAAGTGTCGATCATGAACAACAGCTCATGGTAGCGCTTCTTCTCCCACATCTGTCCAAACGCGTCCGCAAGATCCCACGCGCCGATCTCTTCGGCGTCCTGGAACTTTAGGAATTGGTCGCCTCCATGTCCGGTCATGTATACTAGTACATTGCTGCCGGCGTCGGATCCCAGGCGCTTGCTGCGCGGCACGTCTTCGTCGAGGCGGTCGGTCAGGAGTCGGATGAAGTTCTCCACGGTCACTTCGTACCCCCTGTAGTCCACTTCGATGTTGTCACCGTATAGATCGACAGCGCGGTCTGCGTTACTGTAGACGGTTCCTGGGAAAGCATTTCGAGGGTTGCAAGCCATGTCATCGGGGAGCATGAGGATAATCTGTGAATCGGGAATGCCGAGCCGTTTGACGGTTCGGTATAGTGAGAGGACATTGGCGAGGTGACGGTAGTTGAACCAGAAGCGAGAGGTAGATACGAGTACCGCCCAGTTGGAGGTGTGTTCAGCGACAACTGCGCTGGCAAGAAGCAGCAAGGCAAATGCCTGTAGAAAGCGGAAGAGCAAAGCCATTGTGACGGGACGATCAGATCATAGTAGGGAGGAACACTGCTTGTATCACTAGCCGGTAGATGTGAAATCGGCAGTGACAAAGGATAAATTAAATCAAGCCCCACAGATATCAATCACAAGAACCATATCAAGGCCATAGCACAAATGGCCGGAAGAAGACAGACAGCTTCAAGAAGCTGCCCAGGTGAGATCGGAGATTACAAATGCCGGGGAACCTTTGGAGCCACCTTCATAAGGCATCAATCCCAACGCACGGGCCAAGGGCAGAGTCACCGCCTTCATCGGAGTCGGCATATTGGTCCCGCGGATCAGATCATAGTAGAAACTCGATTCCACCTTTTTCTTTTCACATCCATACCTCAGATCCTGTCCAGCGTTTAGTTTGGATATCATATTTCACCATGGCAGGCAAGAAAGCAGCAGGTGAGAACACCAAGAAGGTCGCCGGAAACGCTCGTGTATGTTTTTATTCAACCCCGCCCCCGCTATTATTGCCACATCCCTCAAGCATAAGATCATTTGGATAAAAGCTGATAGTGCCGTACAGAAAGCGGAAGCCGCAGCATCCAAGAAGGCAGCTGAGGACCAGAAGAAGTCCGCAGAGGAGGAAAAGGAATGGAAGAAGGGATCCAAGAGCAGCGCTAAGAAGTATGCGAACTCAATCTCTCAGAGAACATGTCCTCAAGTGCCGAGCTAACCACCTTCGATCTATAGGGAAGATTCCGAATCCAAGAAAGCCGAAGCCGCCCGCAAGAAGGCAGAGCGCGATGCCCTACTCGCCGAGGAAGAAGCCTCTCAACCAGCCAAAGCCAAAGGCGCCAACGCCAAGACCGCACAAAAGAAGACTCGCGGCCTCGATCTTTCACAGTTGGATGATGCTCCTGCGGGCAGCAAGAAGGAATCATCTATCAGCGCCACTGGTATCGACAACGCCCTAGATGCCCTGTCTCTGGCCTCGAAGGACACATCCAAGATCGACCGGCACCCCGAGCGCCGATTCAAGGCCGCATATGCCGCATTCGAGGAGAGACGCTTGCCAGAGATTGAGCAGGAAAACCCCGGTCTGCGCCGGAACCAGCGTATGGATCTCTGCCGGAAGGAATTCGAGAAGAGCGAGGAGAACCCATTCAACCAGGTGCATGCGGCTGTTAATGCCACCAAGGAAGAGGTTGCTGCACTTCGGGATAGCGAGCGCAAGAAGGTCGAGGGCAGACTGGGCGGCAAATAGGTTAGTCTGTTGCTGGATCACAAGCATTCAAGGGCATGGATTATTGAGAGGCTGTGGGCAATGTGCCGATATTGTCACATTGACCGCGGGTCCCAAGTCTCCATGCTCTCAGATACCCAACATGGATGGTGTTCATAAGAGTGTGGGCCTCTTATCTTGATTCGGAGTCATTGTTGCACGGTTCGGGAATACCAACCGTTTTCGAGTCATTGAGTCGCTGCATAGTTCAAACAAAAGGCTTAATGCTTAAGCCCGGGAAATAGACAACTGTGACTTTGTTTTTACATCGCACCTTGCATTGTGTCTTTAGCCTTTCCGGCATAAAAACTTACGAAATACAATGATCAATCCCTTTCAAGTTATGCAGTCTATTCCGACAGCAGGCTACCTGGTAACAATATCTTAAATGCATCCAGTAAGCTCCTACATAGCATAGCTCTGTTACACCTAGAAAACAAATGATGAAACTCTGGACCCTGCCAGAGCCATATATAATTGGTTTCAAATATCCTTATGACATCGTAGCTCGGACATCCCACACATATAGACTCTCATCCCAGCCAACACTAGCGCACCAGCCCTCACTTCCAAATAGACACCAGTCCACACCTGTTACAAACTCGGTATGTCTACCCATGCGCCCTAGTTCCGCGCCAACCACTGGACCAGCGCGCATCATATCCATATCCCCGCCCGGGCCCGCGTCTGACCGGTCACTCCACACTCGACAAGTCATATCGTAGCTTGCACTCAAAAGAACATTCGAAAGATGCGGCGACCAAGCCACTTTCCGCACAGCATATTCATGTCCGAGCATAGTAGTCAACGGCCCTTGTTGCGGGGCCCGGATATCAAACGTCCGAATAGCACGGTCAACGCCCGCCGTAGCTAAAACAGTGGGACGGTATTTGTTCCAGTCATGGGTGAGGGCCTCCGCGGGCGGGGCAGGGCCGCCCGGTTGGCCGGGGATTGCAGGCGCAGGGGGACCGGCGTGGATGGGGATCTGGGTGACGAGGTGGTTTGAGGCTGAGGCCGGGGTGCGGAGATCGAAAACGCGCACGTATGAGTCTGACGTCACGCAGGAGATGATGTCTGGGCTGTGTGGACAGAATGATGCGGAGTAGGTGCAGCTGTGTGTTGGGAGGGTGAGGAGAGACTGCGGGCGATGTGGCGACCAGATGCGGACTGTGCCGTCCCAGCTACTTGAGCAGAAGCGATCTTTTGCGACTGGGTTCCAGCTTACGCTGAATACTTCCCGTGCGTGTTCTTTCCAGTTTGAGATTGGGAATTCGTCCGCTGTACAGTCGAATAGCTTGATGCTGCCGTCGCCCGATGCGGCGAGGACTTGGTTCTCGTGGAGTTCGGACCATGCGAGATCATATAGTGAGTCTTGTGTCGTGAACCTGGAAGTTGTGATAGCGCGAAATGGTTAGAATTTGGTTCTTTACTTCCGACTCCGTTGCGCACTCCGCGGGGTCTGCGAATATCCCACTTACCATTTTAGCGGTTGGATTCCATTCGCCGTCAACTCCAGGATATGCAGGCGGCCATTGCCAACTAGGCCAAAATTTGAAGAACTTGCAACGGCTAGCCGATTGTCGAAGAAAGGGGAGTATTTGACAGCGCAACCGTTATATCCTTGTGTGCGGTAATGGAGCATGATGAGCAACTGTTCAGCGCCGATCGCTCGAGGGGAGAGGTGAGAAAGAGGAAGAGAGAAAGTGAGATCTTCAATCAGGCTAGGGTATCAAAAGCATAAACGTCGACACGAAGATGTCAAGTTCAGAATCGGCGTATGATCTCGGGATTGCGGGGATCAGATGAGCCGAGGTCCTTCCTTGGCTTTCAGGCACGGCCTTATACTTTCACATTCGCTTCTGATCTATTATCTATACCTGCATTTTAATAGGAAAATTGATACTCGAGAATGCCCTATGCTCTCCCTAATGATTTAGATTCGCCTAATCGGGTACCGTTCCTATACCTTAACTAGTTTTGTATACTACCGCTTTTTTGTTAAACTCCCTAAATATACAGTGGAAACATATAGAGAGGCAGAAATTACGGCTGGAGATTAAGAAGGTACAAGACTTTTAGGCAATTATCAATTCCCTATATAAAAGAAGATCATACATAAAATAAGTATATATTCGTTGAGGTATATATTTCATGGGTAAAACCCTGTCCCGACTAATGGACTGTACAATTTTGTGTATTACCCAGTTACGTAGATATTGGATGAACTATAGATCTCAAAATCTCACATTATTCCATTTCACAGGTGGGCTAGTGGTATGACGAAGCATTGTGGTAATCCATGGATGTATACATAAGTACACAGTGCTGCTGCTTTAGCCCTTGGTGGCGCCAATTTTTTTTTTTCCTTCATAGTTCACTACATTGCTACTTACTGAGATTCTGCACAAATAACACAAAGCTGTTTTCATAGATGGCTGAAGTATATGATGTTCGTGATCATTGACGTCAACAAGCTACATCTATAGCTGCATCCAGCCCTAATTGCAACGCTAGTAAGGAACCATTCTAGATCCTCAATTTTCCATTCAATGGCATATATCTGAGCCAATCATGTCAAATAACCATAAGGTGAACCACGCCGATGTTATTTTGCCCCAGCCCCTGCAAAGTATGGGAATGACGCCATGGTTGGCCTCTTCTGAAATTTGCTTACAAGTCTGATTCAATTCTGATTGAATATTTCTTAACATACAAATCGACCGTTATGATAAGCTCAAAACAATATACCCAAACCGCACCCACACAGAGACGCGACGCAATGCCAGTATCAAAGCACTATACATCCCCGGCCAGTGTATTCCTCAAAGAAGAAGTATACCGACTCGGAGCATTGCCAGGACTGAGATCCCTACCTCCAGGCCCAGAACGAGACTTTCTCACCCTGTCATGGGGGCCTATCATCTACCGCACCTCGTACGCTCCCGAAACCAAACGTCTTCTCCCAGTATTCCTGCGCTACCTCAATAATTCCGTGCACGGGGCCTTGCGCCGGACATTTACAGGCTCCGATGAAGAAATCGAAACTCTCACAACGACATATTCTTCCAAGGTTTTCAGCTCGCCAGAGATATACGCCAAGATGGATGAGGAAGCGGTCCGACAGGCTTTCCATGATTTCAAGGTGTCGCTCGGGATACCTGAAACAGAGCTCCCGAGCAGACTGCGCATATGCTTGATGCTAGATGACGAAGCGTTAGCGCACTTGAAATGTGTTTTAGATCTTGCCTCGATGGCTGAGGAGGATGCAGATGTGGGTGGATGCTGGGTGAAGGTTGTTGAGGAGAATTTCCCGGATTCTAGGATGGGTGATCACCCGCTTGCGAAACCCGATACGGAAAGTGTATCTCAAGTTAGAGAATATCGTGGGAGTTATCATGGGTGGACGATGGTGGCACTCGATGCATTGGTAGAGGTCTTTGATGGGCTTCGGCAAATGAAATGGTTGGTTGACTATCATCGGGAGGGCAATGTATACTTGGGAGACGGCAAATGGAGGAGTGTATCAAGCTAGCGCTTTGAATTGTTTTCCAAATTGTTTTCATTAATTCGATATAGGAAATGTATTGATGGAACTGATCAAATTTGGGTGTTCATCGGGGGGATATCTATACGTTCCTTCCCATTACCAAGGTTGTGAGTGCTGGTGACTAGTAACCTTCGGGTGAAGTCAAGACGAGCTCACATGTAAATATCATTGCTCTTTGCCTCTTTCGATAGATAATGTATATGGTTTCTTTGTAATCTTCTTCATTTCATAAACCTCAGCTCTCCGACAAGAAAAGTGCTAGGAGTAAGGTGTACCGTAGGGACAACCACCCATCCGACCCTTGCCTACGGATGGAACTAGTAAATGATATGTTGATCAGTTATTAGTAGTAGAAATAAAGACGTTTGTATCATTATCTGTGTTTGTCAAATTTCGTAGTCCAGAACTTAGCTGTCTTAACCCTTCAATCAGTCAATCTTTCGTTGCACCATGCACTTCGAGGTAGTCCCTTCTCACAGGTTATGAGCCCTCGAAAGCTCTATTCAACCCTCCTCCCCGTTACTATCAACAGCATCATAATCCTCCAAGTGCCTATCTATCGAAGCATTATCATCATCAAGATTCAACAGGGGTCTCTCTCGACAACGCGCCCACCGGCCAGGCCATCGACCTACAAACGTCCACCTCAACGCGTGCAAGTTTTCAGCCCTTACCAAGCTCTATCATCTCATAAAACCTCACATTCGTGCCTCTCCTTTGACGTTCCAGCACCCGCTTTACCCTGCTACTTCTTCAAGCCTCCTTGCTATGCTTACAAGTTTACTACCTAGCCAGAGCGATTTTGGCATGCTGGCGTGAATCCGGGAATTGGAAAGACCCTGGATACAATTGGGATCAGGTCACCTGGCCATGTTTGCCAGGACTGCCTGTGAGAATAAATACAGCATATTTTACCACTAGACCACTACAAAAACCATGATTCTTGTATGAGGCCTAGAGGCGCCATGTCTACCATTTTGACACTGCCAGTTACATGGTCTCCTCTCCCTCTTCTTCTGCTTCTTTTCTCTCAGGTGAGTAGTTCTAATACAGTTTTATTGCTCTCTCTTCTCATGGCTTCATCAGCAATCTCTTCGTTGGACCTGCATTCAAGGATCATACATAAAATGAATGTGTATTCGTACCACCGGTCCGCTGGACGTTGATGGAAAATTCAAGAATTCCGATAATGCCTATATTTCTTGAGTATAGCGAGAAGCTCTTTATTGGTGAATAAGGGGAATGGTAAGTTATAAGAACTCCGTGTTTTGAATATATCTTCTATCATTAACGTATGACTTTATAGTTTCGTCTTCTACGGTTGATGTCTATGTTCCATGGATAATGTTATGATGCTGGAAAATCATGTATAGATCATACTGGAAAATCAACAGGTGGATGTTGGATCTAAACGCTTGTGGCAAAATCAATAAGTGGGGGTTCTTACTTAGATTATGATGTTGATGGAGAAAAAATGGCGAGCAGAAAGGCGCCGAATCAAATTGACTATGGCTATTAAAAATAAAAATAAAGCCGTCTAAGAAACGGCGCAATTTCTCATTCTCGATTTCTTTCTCGTTCTGCTCTCATGTATACTAGCATTCAGCCACCGGCTTACAAGATGTTGCCGCTTGGCATGCCATCGTTATAAGCGAGGTGGAATTATCCGTTTGAAGTGTTTGGTAAGCTTCCTGAAGCAGACGTTGCTAGCGATGTGGTATGCCGGCATATTCTTCTTGTTGAAGCCAACGATCAAGCTGGTATGTCCGGTCCCATCCAGAATAATTCTCCCGCGTCTCTTGTAGCATTCGCCGCGAGGAAGACCTGGAATCATATTATTAGTATTTTTTCATTCAGGTGGTTCGCTTTCTATATATGCACTTACCAGTATAAGAGATTCTCCAGAAATTTATCTCCAGTAAGCCGACAGTTTGAGAGCCAACGGAAATCTGCAGGCCATTGACAGCTGCCTAAATTCCGTGTCACGTCGAATACAACATTCCTCGCATTTTCGGATAATACAGGGTTTCTGTAAATCAATGTCTAATATAGTGGACAATGTGGACAATTTCGAAAGGGACTGCTCAAAAATTTGAAAGAACAGAACTAAGATCCACATGAGGACATTGGAAGATAGGCTCAGCTTCGTAATAAGCGTGGGAGATAGATAGACGTATCCTATACCGAGCATGTACAACCAGGTGGTCAGATTTGTCAATAAACACACGCATCGCGACTCGGGCGTTGTTGTCAGGTGTAGTAAGTAATGAACAACTGTGACTTGAATGGGGGCCCCCTGTACGGTCGAATTTAAAAGGGCCGATTTGAGCTTGGGATAGCATAGTAGTAGCAGGTGATTTAAAGCTTCACAATGCGCCCTCGTTCGCGAATAGTCCAGGCAGCGCATGGGCATATGTCAACTATACCGGCGTTTTTTGTACAAGACTTCCCGAGAGCTGGATAATGTAGTGAAGCTTCACTAAATTCCTTTCGTGGATGGAGCTTTAAGCATTTCCCGCAATATACCCAGTGATAATTTTCGAGTCGAAGAAGAAGTTGGTTTCGTGGCACCCTTCTACTATTCACACATAGAATAGGGATTAAATTCGAATTTATAAAAGTCGTGGGAAATCGAAGTCTTTTTGTTTTAGATCCGCACTAAACAGGTCGTAAAATCTTTTGCAGCTAAGGGATAGATAGGCTCCATCGACCAGGGAGAGATGCTGATACATATTGCTTAGAACGCTGTCTTCCAGAGAAAGAATTATGGGAAGCTTTCTTCTGGTTCGGGAAATGAGAGATGAAAGCAAAGGTATCAGGACTCTGCTGTTTCTTTTCTTCACTTTTTGCTTCCTCATTTTCCCTTTGTGATGAGAAAAAGGTAGGCTCCAATTCAGTCTGCATGCAGTCTTCCCGCCTTTTGATACAGGAAATTTCTCATTATCGTCAAGACGGCTGTAGCCTTCGCGAGACCATTCAGTTTCCAACGCTGCATCTTTGAATATGATTGATATACGTACGATATATGGGGGTGTTGGTCGGGTAAATTTGCTCTGAGAATGACAACTAGGATGATAATGAGCCAAGGGAGGAGTTTGAGTACCGAAAAGATAGTTATCCAACGCCTAATTTTAGGGTTTTTAGAGCCGATGTCCAATTTGTCTACGGAGTATGGAGGCCAATTTCCGAACTTAAACACCTCTATCTAATATATTTACTAGTTTTTATTAAATATTAGTGGAATATTAGTCGAAATCACTATGTAACCATTTTTTCTAAAATAATATTTATAGATAGACATAGCCCAGTATTAGTACTGGGTTGAAACATAAGGGTTTCATTTCTTAGTCAAGTAGCCAGTCGCATCTTATTCAAAATGATAATTGAAGCCTGAGTGCTATATAGAATATCCCTAGTCATTGAGAAGACAGCCTTGGAGGTGAAGATGTAATAGTCTCATTCCGGGTGGCCCTGCATCTATGACATCGTGATCCGATTGGTCACTTCGACAGCAATCATGTGCCGATAAGCATTTATTTTATCGTGATACATGAGGCTTATCGATCAGCTTAGGCATCCATCCATCTCATTCACTTTTCGGAGCCTCAAAAGAATGGGATTTGAAACATGGATGCCTTCATATCAAGGAAACGTCCACGGCTCTCGAATCCGAACGAGGAACCCAAGCACGAGTCATCAGATCCCAGCGAAGACACCACTGATACCAAGCTAGCAATACTGCTATCTCTCTTCCCGGCCATCAAACAGGATGAGCTATTGGATATACTCGTATCCTGTGAAGGGTCTGTGGAGAATGTTGCCAACCTCCTCTCTACAAAAGACTTCACAGCAGGCACACCCGTGAGCAAAAAACGAGCTGCTGTTACCTCATCATTCGGCGTGCAGACATCTCTCTCATCACATATTTTAACAACAGCTGAAGATGGAAGCATAAAGCCCATGCATGAAGGTGCGAGAAAGAGAAACCTTCCGCCTCCAAAGAAGGGCAAAACTCTACACCTTTACTCGCCTGAGGACATTGCCACCCACACACCTTGTACTATCATCCACAACTTCCTACCAGCTCAAGAAGCAGATAAACTTCTGCTTGAATTACTTGATGAATCAAAACACTTTTCTCGGTACGACTTTCAACTCTTCAACCGGACTGTCCAGAGTCCCCACACAACTGCCGTGTATGTGTCTACACCTGAAGAACACCGGCAACAGACATCAGAATACACTTACGGTGGCACATATCGGTCAAATGTCCGCCAGGCAACACCACAACTACGATTAGTCTCGCGCCAAGTACAGAAAATCGTCAACGTTGAGATCAACAAACGAATTCGAGATGTCTATCCCGACGGAAAGAAGTTACAGTACCAGTCCCCAAAAGAGTGGCGGCCGAACGCAGCATTTGTCAACTGCTACGACGGGCCGAGTGAAAGCGTAGGATATCACTCCGACAAACTCACTTATCTCGGCCCTCACCCGGTGATAGGAAGCCTGAGCTTGGGCGTGGCACGCGAATTCCGAGTCCGTCGGATAGTACCTCGAGATGACGACGAGACTGCTGAAGAAGAACAAAACGCCGGTCAGACTGGCCCTGTTTCAAATTCTGCACGAAATCAGACTACATCGGCTGCACGCGCTGACGCCCAAGGCCAAATCTCAATACATCTTCCACACAATTCTCTCCTTATTATGCACGCAGAGATGCAAGAGGAGTGGAAACACTCTATCGCCCCAGCTCAAACCATTTCTCCACATCCGATCTCTGGGAACAGGCGTATTAACATCACATATCGTTGGTATCGTGATACTTTACATCCACGCTACACGCCACGTTGCAAGTGTGGCGAACACACGATTCTCCGGTGTGCACAGCGCAAACATGAGACGCGAGGGAGATACATGTGGATGTGCTATGCTGCATATACACCAGGAAAGGAGGGGTGTTCTTTCTTCCAGTGGGCCGAGTTTGATGATGATGGGGATCCGATATGGGGAAAGAAAGTTATCCTGGACGAGGCCCCTATTTTAACAAGTTTCTCGGCATCTCAATAGATTATGAAACTCATGTGTGATAGGTACATATATAGAGATGCGGAATTATCCCGTTTTGACCTCGGATATACAAAAGAAGTACACGAAGTTGAACGAAAATAGACGCATGTGCCAAATAAGGTTTAGAGACTATGCACTATAAATTTATAGAAACTCCTATCAGGTTGATCAGTTGAAGTATAGAAGTTACTTCGAAGATACAAGCAGTGAATCCTAAAAGCCAATAATGATTAAGATCCAAGTCTTCAATGGTCGCTATGTACTGCAATAGTATGGCCTCAGGCGGAAAGTGGGTTCGTATTCCGCAAACTCCACACTTTAGGTGGTTCCTCGGCTGTCTTAACATCCATTTGAACCAATTATTACATGCCAGATGCTACTAGCTCCTCACCGGACCGTGCCTCTAATGTATGTGAATGGACCTATCTCCAACTATTATGTACAGAAACAGGTAAGATTGCCCTAAGCTACCCCTAAAACATGAAGATATGCGGAATCATCTCCGCTACACTCCGCTATTTCAAAAGTACGGTGTAAAAAGCTGGCAAGCTCGAAGTTTGCGCCTTTCGCTGTTGATCTTTCATTTGCCATCTTTATGCAATCGTGATCTCTGGAATCTACACCATGACTTCTGTTGAGGATACCTATGACTATATTGTCTGCGGGTAAGATACTCATCAACAGAAGCTTAGAATCTTGCTAACCGTGAGGTAGAGGAGGAACCTCTGGCTGTGTGGTTGCTGGTCGTCTAGCTGAAAACCCAGAGGTTAGAGTCTTGCTGCTAGAGGCTGGACAGCATAATAAGGACCTGGAGAATGTTCATATGACCGGCGGGTGAGCTACAGAAGCCTAGTTGGTGCATCCATTGTTACTGACAGATCAGATGGTCAAACAACTTCGATGCTGAGACTGACTGGAACTTTGTCACTCCTCCAATGGCGGGAGTTGACAACCGCCAAGTGAAACTGAGTCGTGGCCGATTCCTCGGTGGATCCAGCGGGTGCAATGGCACGCTTTGCATCCGTGGCAATAAGCAGGATTATGATGACTGGGGATTAGATGGGTGGAGCGGAGAAGAGTTCTTCAAGTCTATGAGAAAGGTAGGCGACATGGTTCCACGCCGGTGCTGATGTCAATGCCTAAGTACTAACAACATGAGCAGTCAGAGACCTTCCACCCGAAGGCATGGTTTCAGGCCGACAAAGAGAGTCACGGATACTCCGGGCCCCTTCACACAGAGCCACATGATCTGGCGCCCATCTCCCAGCTCCTGCTCGACTCTTATACCTCGCAAGGCATGCCCTTGCACCACGACATGTTCAGCACTGGCGATGTTGCGCAAGGATGTGGCCATGTGCCCCGAACTGTGTACCAGGGCACGCGGACAACAGGCGCTGATTTCGTCACCAACAAGAACCACTGTGGGAACATCACCATCAAGACCGATACTACCGTCGACAAGATTATTTTCGGCAAGCAGGCAAACGAGACTCGCGCTTCCGGCGTAATCACTCAAACTTCAGATGGCAAGTCCAGCATCTACTACGCCCGAAAGGAGATCATCATCTCTGCAGGCGCCTACTGCAGTCCGGCAATCCTCCTTCGATCTGGCATCGGCCCAAAGGCAGAGCTAGAACAGCACAATATTCCTTCTTTGATCAATCTACCAGGCGTGGGCAAGAACCTCATGGACCACCTTGTCAGTAATCTCTACACAACCATTAATACCAACACGAACCATCCTAACACCTATCTTCTAGATTGTATTTATGTTCTACGAAACCGAAAAACAAGGCCTAACAAACGACCACCACGTCTACCACAACGACAACTTCGACCGAACCTACGCCCAATGGAAAGAGCAAAAGACCGGTTTCCTGTCCAGTTTCCCCTTCGGCAGCTTCGCCTTCGCGCGTCTCGACGACCGACTAAAAGACGAGCCTCTTTGGAAAAACGCCAGCCGCAAACCAGGCCGTGACCCCATGGGCCTCACACCACAACAGCCAAATATCGAGTTCTTCAGTACAGAGTGCTACGGCGGCCCGAAGCAATATGACCAATTCCCGATTAACAACCAGCACGCGTTTTCCATGATTGCAGAGCTGTTTGCGCCGAAGTCTCGTGGCTCGGTGGTGCTCGAATCGGCGGATCCGTCAGTGAACCCGGTTGTCGATTGTAATTATCTGGCTGATCCGCTTGATCTGTTGGTTCTTAGTGAGGCTTGTCGATTTGGGAATGAGGTTGTTATGCAGGGTGCTGGGACTAAGGATATTGTTAAAGGGTCTTGGCCGCCAAATTTGAATCATCATACTTATAAATCGAGGGAGGAGTGGGTTCCATATGTGAAACAGCATGCGACTACTTGTGAGTTAGTGGAGTATTGGAATTGCGTTTGGCCTTGTTGTGTTTACTGACGTTTTGTTAATAGGCTACCATGCGGCGGGCACTTGTGCCATGGGGAAGAAGGATAATCCCATGGCTGTTCTCAATGAAAAATTGCAAGTCAGGGGTGTTTCGGGGCTTCGAGTTGCTGATTGCAGTGTCATGCCGACGTTGCATGGAGGACATACTCAGATGCCGGCTTATGGCATCGGAGAGAAATGTGCGGATTTAATCAAAGAGACATGGCGGATGGCGGGTAATGTCTATCCTCGCATCTGATACTTTATGCTGTCGAGTTTTTCCAGCATATAGGGAGGGCTGTGAGGGTTTTGTGGTTGGGTATCTGCTTCGTGTCTACGATATTACCCAGCTCCAGCACTGGATTCGAACACAAGGAAGAGGTTCACCTCATGAATCGAATAGCGAGTTGATTCCAATTGAAAGTTATACTTAAAGAGTAAGAAAGCATTCCTATACAGGTACAAATATAAGGCATAACCCAACTCTGTCAGGAGCAAATGAAGCATAGGTCCATAAGAATAGTGTGATTATTCCAAAAGAGCAAATTCAAACAGTTGATCTCAACTGAGTTCGCTTGCAGATCCCAAGCTGATACTGAGAGCATCATCATCCAGTTCATACGACATTAGCGCCGAAACCTTGCGATAATTGCCAGAAGGACGGGGCGGCACACCTGGGGTGCGCGAGATGGTGCAATGGGTTTCCAAACAAATAGTATGCGGTTTCGGTAGCAGAGAGTGCTGATGCTCGAGGCGAGCGCTTAGAACATGCTGCGCAGCCGGCTCAGAAGAATATGCTTTTAGGACACTGTTGATCTGCCTGATCAAGTCTTCGAGCACGGGATGTTCAGTCAATTGGGTTTCCTGGTAAAACCAGATCGGCACACCCATTTTCACTTTGAAGATCCAGGTCTCCCCTGGTCGTAGCCGCGCCAGATGACAGTCTTCCATTACCGACTCGAACTGGCATCCGTGGCCTTGCTCAACAAGCAGTTTCAAGTCCGACAGGGCCCCAGGGCTGAGACCAGTACGAAGCTGCCGAACGACTTTGGAGACCTTTCGCATGAAATGAACTTCGCAGGATCGTGGATCATCGGCATCGGCATCGTAGAAGATGTGCCAGCCAAGTGGATGGTTTGCTGTTTGAAGAGGAAAGCGAAGCTGAGGAGAGATTGTATGGATACCAATAGACGTGTCTACGCCAGATATAGACAGATTCTCTGGGGGGCATGCGGAAATGAAAACCACATGACAAAACGCTGCTCTGGGAGAGGGGTAAAAAAGTCGAGATGCCTGCCGAATAGAGTTACCTGCGTCAGGGAACTTTCTCGTTTTCTTCTTCAACTGGCGGAGAGAGAAGGCATTCAGAGCAGCTCTCAACGTCTCGAATGAGTGGAACCCCAACGGAAGCAATAGCTCGAACCCGTTTCTAGAACTTCCGTCAACACATGCTACGGCTATTCTGTCACTATTGATGGCCAAATTTGAAGCAAGCATAGAAGATGCTAGGACCATTGGCGTCAAAAGGCTGACAGAAGCTTGCTGCCTTTTCGATGGTCAGTGAAACGTGTTTTCTTTGACGAATAAGCCAATGGAGTCAACTCACAAGCTATCAAAAAGTATAACAATGTCGAGGGGTGCAAGGCTCGAGGTCTCAGGCAGGGAAATGGGCTCAACATCAGCAGATACATTCACTGCCGCCCATACAGACATCGAGTCTGTGCTCATGCATGGCCAGCCTGTGTAGGATCTCATGCTGGCAAACGCGATAGGAAGCTCCAATGGACAAAGTAATCCGGATGACCCTGGGCGCAGCATGTTTGATAAACACCGGACACTATCGACTCTGGGTTTGTGTTTTGAAATATCTGCTGGCGGTTCCATTGCGCCGGAATCCGAGGCTGACGTCGACGAGAGGCATGGCTCTATAGAGCCATAAGACCCAGAGCTCCAGCGAACAAGCAGTTGCGGCGCCAATTGATATCCACTCTGTGTCATGAGTCCTCTTCGAGGATCAACACGGCGGCGCGAGGTCTGCAACAAACAGTCAGTAGGATCAAAACCATTGGTACCAGTGTAGGCATTACCTGGTCGATAAATGGGTCTTCACTCGCATCAAGAGCAGTCTTGCGGATACCTCGGGAACTTGTACCATGATCCTGTCGGGTTTTCACCACATCGATATTGTAAAGACTATCACTGAGAGATGGAGTCCTGGTCGATGTTGCAAGCTCGCTTGAATCGCATTCCACGCTGGCAGAAAGGGACGAACGGCGGGAAGGGATCTGTGGGTATGACAGGCTCGAAAGGGAGCTAGATGTTGAGTTGGTTCTATGTATGGATGTGATGCACGGGGTGCGGCGTTTGAGCACAGTGATCGGCGTAGTTGGTGTGTCCTCCATGGTGTCGCGATATCTAAATATGCTCTCTGTTCCTGACAGGGGGCTCAAACTCAATCCGAATATCTGAAGCCTCTGTGGCACAAATTAAATTCGAGTGAGGCCTGACGGGACAGGCCTCTGAGTCCGATGGGATCTTCTTGCGTCGCTGCTGCTTCCAAAGACTGAAGCACGACAGGCACGACAGGCACGATTCTTTGAGGGAATGATTGCTCCAGTAATTAGAACACGCAAGAGCGATGACAACAACAAAGATGAGAACAACGATAGGAACAAGGACTAATGCAATAATTAAAGCTGAGCTTTTGATATCATACGATAGCCTATAGGTCATTTTGCTCGAATATATTGATGCGAGGAGGAGAAATGGGGAAGTAAAGAACAATGAAGCCATATGCTCCTGCCACTCCTCAGTCCGACGACTACGCTGGCAACAACGATGTCACTTCCATGGCTTGCGGACAGAGAATTCATGGAATTCTCCGAGGTTGAAGTTGATAAACATTTCCAAAAAAGGTAAAGTAGCATTTGGGTATCATAATCCATCGGATAGCACTTATATCCCGTTCCCGGCCATCGCAGCCATCTTCTCCCTGACTGAGTTCATGGTTGTATCATCCAGTCGCGAAAATCGGATCTAAAAAAGTGGTTAGTATAAGTCAGGAGTGGGCATCAGAGGTCATATACCATTTCATCCGTACCCCCACGAGCAGCACCTCCAAACAGCATCGGCTCAGAGTGAGAGTTTTCAATCTCATCTTTTACCCGTCTAGCCCAAATTCCATCCCAGTGCCAATCCCCCGGAAGCCGAGCCTGTGGGCTTCCTCGTTTGAGTTGTCCTCGAGGGCCGCCTCGGCGATGTGCCTGCCACGCATGCCATGCTCCAGGGTTCCCTGCGACCTCAACCGGTAGCGAATCCAGAACCAATTCGTCATCAAACGTCGACCGGATGTAATCTAATATCTCCGACACTGGGACGACATTCCTTCGTTCCGCAAACTGACCCATATCAGGTGCCTGTGCTATACGTGGAGCTTCTACACCGCCATCCTCACTGGCCGCTGATGTCACTGGAGGGTTTGACGCGTTCGATTCATCGCCATCTGTAATGGGATCGGCGGAGCTTGAGTGTCCTGTCGATGCAGCACTTGCACTAGTACCGCTTACATTCCGTGATGTGTTCCCTGATGCTAGTCCGCTCCGCATTGCCCTACCAAACCAATGAGGGAAACCATGGCGCAGACTGAATCCGCCGGGCGGTAATCGTTCATCATCCGTTGCGCTGACGGGATTGTCACTTGCCGAGCCAGTGCTAAAGGTATATGTAGTGAGAGGCACAATCAATGGGTGGAACAAGTCGGTCGCGAAGGTGACGAGAGGAGGAAGGTCGGGATAGGTGTCTGGGAAGCGGAGTTGGAATCGGAGAACGGCCGAAGCATAGGGGCCTGCAAGCGGAAGTTAGTCAACGCGTGGCGCAGTATATGGGATATTTGAATTCACCTGAGCGAACAAAAATCACTCCATTCCAGAATGTCGGGTCTCCGGGTGCGAGGCTCACATAAACCCCTGGTGGTGCTGCGCGTCTCAAGCTCGCGCTGTGGAGTCAGTACACGGATTAGTCTGTGTGGAGTAAAGGAGCTCACAATTCCAGGTGGAGCTGCTGCTTTCGAAGTGAAGGTATGCAGGGTAACTTGGAGGTCGACATGTCTATTTTAGCAGAGGAGGAAGTTGGGAAGATCCGGGGGTTGACGACAGCTTATCGATTGCTTATCGCCGATCGATATCGGACTTCAATCATTGAACGACATAGCTCCAATTTTATACTTCAGTAAAGAGGTTGATGGGTTTCATCAAATTCAAGGATGTGCTATGTGTTTCTTTGGGGCTTAACCCAAGCTTACGTGAACATATACAGCCCCCCAGGGCTGCCCGCAGACCATCTGACATCTCCTACCTCTACAATGAAGGCATTGCACTGACTATAGAGAGAAAAGATCTGTGCTAAGCGCGACAAGATGGCCAAGGAAAGGCGCCGTCTATAGTAGGAATTGGATGGGCATTCTCCTAGAGCCTACATATTGTAGATAGGAGGACTTCATTCGGGAAAGACAAAGACTTCCCAGGGCTAACAAGCTATATAAGAAATTATGAACCTTTACCCAAAGCGAGTTAACCTGTATTTGAAGGGAAAATCCCTTCCTATTTATGAATTATGCTGACCTTTCCTTCATTTCACTATAGACCCAGAGAATCACATTTTCCACAGTCATGGGAACTCGACAAAAATATGGCTGCGGGTAGACTTCCGCACCGGCCCACAAAGCCCAAAGCCCAGCCCATTTACGGGTTGGGTTGGGTTGGGCTTTGGGCTTTGTGGGCCGGTGCGGAAGTCTAGCTAAAAGGATGTATTAATATCTTACTTACATTTCACATTCACAGTTGGCCATATATTCTGCTTCCACGATGAACCCATATATAACGGACCCAGACAAAATTCCACCTTCTGATCTATATGCGGACCTGCCGCTTTATGGTCGGTACCATCCTAAGTCAAATGACTTCCGCATTGACCGCCAGGATGTTAATTCTCATTCCCCCGAATCGTTGCATTATTGGGCTTCAGTTCTTACACTCTGCAACCAATCTGTTATGATCTATCCGGCGGAGGACGGTGGTCGCGACGTGTTCGCCCTTGGTAGCATCATCGTCAAGTCGAGCCACATGCATACGCAACAGGGCACAAAGTATACGGATATCGACTACTCCTATGCTGATGCCAATGAAATCCAGGCAATTACTATTGCAAAGACGGTCTTAAAAGACGTCAGAGTGCCCGAGATATACTTTACAGGGAAGGTACTGTTCTCACCACTTGGTTACGCCAATTTTGCTCACATCCCCTTAGATCAATGGCCATCAGGTATTAGTCCAGGAAAGACTTCGGGGTGTTGCGTTGGCTGTCGCTTGGCCTTATCTTTCGCGAGCTCAAATGGGGTCCTTCAAACAGCAAGCACGCAATATACTTCGACAGCTGCACTCCGTAAAGCCTACCGATGGATGCCAGGTTCGCTCTTACGTGGTGCCTGATCCCAATATTCGTACAAATGGCCGCATCCAACCCCTTGAATGCGATATACTCTTCTCGGTCACCAACACCGATCTAGATACGAGCTTCATGCACAACGACCTAACTGCATCTAACTGTATAGTTGATGATGATAAGATTGTAGGACTCATTGATTGGGAAATGGCCGGCTTTTTTGGGTGGAAGACGGCTGGAGAAGTCCATCGTAAGCTGAGGCCGCACGATACGTCTTTTTGGAAGGATCTCTATGAATAAGACAGGCAGCAGGCTTGTTTTTTGAGGATTAGAGCAGATCTGGGTGGGATGTTAAGAATGCAGATGAAATAGTGAAAGTGTGAAAGATCTAGATGGCCTTTTGAACCAAATGAGATTTAAGCAACCCTGTTCAGTACCTATAAGGTCACCACCTCTTCACAGCCCTTACCATTTATTAGTAGTGAGGAATATTCAATCAAATAACAACTTTCTGGATACAGATTTAACAAATAAAACACTATGCATTAAATCCAATTGGATTTATCTCAACGATAAAGCCATTGAATTGATTTAATGAAAATAATTTGTCTATCTGGACACGTCTCTCTCCTATGCCCTAGCTGCCTACATATTCCACATGCTCGCCTGGCCCGTATAGATGGTTGTAAATCCTGCGAAACCCGCTCACGATAGGCATCGATACGCGCTATTCGGGACTGAATTTTGAGAGCTTTGAGAGTGAATTGGTAGCATGGTAGATGGTTGAATTGATTAAGCGCTAAAGACGCGTTTTGGGTGAGGTGGACCACTCGCTTGTGAAATACGTTAGTTAACTAGTACGGAGTATAGACCTCGGGAGTATATTCAAGTGGCTTCGGCTGGGGCTCCCGCTGGCCCTTGGTCCGATATAGACTAGGGTTCACTAATATGGATTAACTTCATCTCTTAATATTCGATATTCATCGCTTCTAGCACATGTCATTTTATGCATATGCCTTAATAATCAAGTCACATAGTCTTCTAATAATCCAGTTCAGGGAATATACTCCGGAGTAGAAGGTCCCGAGGTCCAGATGGAGATCTTATCTAAGGTGGCAAGGTGTGATAGGCCCCAGGGGAAACTAAAAATTAAACATTGGAAAGTAAAAATTAACGTTGTGTTTTTTTCAAAAAGGGGGAGTGGGGCCCCCAACAAAACCCCATGGGTCCCAACAAGCGGGTAGTGACATTTTTATAGTATTTTTTATACTTTGCAGTATTTTATGTTTTATTTGAATTTTAAGTTACCTATGTTATGAACTAATTCATTGTGTTTATATCACCAAGTCAATTTCCACGTCAAGTCAAGTATGAATATGTATGCTATGGTAGACAAATAATTTTGAGCATTTGAGTGTATGGCACCAACACCGAATTACGTCCGAAAAGTCAAGCTGAAAAAAAGTGGAATCACATGCCCCTTGCGCATACCACTGCCGAGTCATCTCCAGCCCTGGCTTGCATGCTGACCTACAGAAGAAGTATGTATTTGCCGTTGCGTAAACACGAAAGCAAAATCAATTCGCCACTCGATCTTGCACATCGGATTTGGTGAGAGAATTCCAGACCAATCCACGGTAGTCTACTCCGTACTCCATATACAGTACGAAAATGACCCGCCGAGGTAAGTTGATCGCTTCGATCTATGTACCCACATGCTGGGACGCCTTCACCGTATTCTCAGCATGTGAAAGTGAAATTGCAATCATAGCACACACCAGATCAGGTCTAGATCACATCACATAGATAGTCAGACCACTCGTAACAAAATGCTTGTAAAATTGTTGGGGCGAACGGAATTAGCCGATAGGAAGGCGGTGGCTGTGAAGAACTCGGGTAGAGCGTATACAACATACACACATAGAAGTAAAAAATGAGATGGGGCATATGAGATGGGGTATGGCTATGGGTAGAGGAAAGATCAGCCCTGTGCTGACTATTCTGGATAGTTCATGCGAGAATTTGAGGGCGAAGGGGGTGGATCTGTAAATTTGCAAAACGCCATACGGGCCATACGGTTGGATTGGACTATAGGGACAGTGGCGGTATGAAAATTACCACCCCAGGGTCCCATGGTTGAATCGGGTGTTTTTTGTTGTTTCAATTTTCCCTTCAGTTTTTTGTTTCTTTTTGAGAGCTGTTACTTTTTCTCTTTCTTTTCTTTTTATTGCCTGCTTTCTTGTTGGCTCTTCTTTAGAACGGGGCATCTTCAGGGCTTCAACCTTCCTTGTGCAACATCCCCCAAAAAAACAAACTCAAAATATTGTGAGTAGACCCTGACAGCTCGGAGAATCTTAACTAACCTGATCACAGGTTCTTGTGTTTCTTGTGTCCTTCGTTTCAGTTCTATAGAAAGGGATAGTTTGGTATATCCACCGTGACTTCGGAGTTTGTCAACCTCAACACCCAACATGTCGTCTACCGCAATCCCCAAGCGCGTTGCGCTCAATCGCAATCCCGCTACCGAGTCCTCAACGGTTAGCTCTGTCTCGCCCTCGCCCTTTGACAGCCCTCGCCAGTCCCCCTCCTCTACCTCCCTGTCCTCAATGGGCTCGGAGCAGGAGGCCAGCAAGATGCTCGATACCTATGGCAACGAGTTCAAGATCCCAGATTATACGATCAAGCAGATCCGCGATGCCATTCCCGCTCACTGCTTCCGCCGCTCTGCCGCCACCAGTTTGTACTATGTCTTCCGGGACCTGGCCATCCTGGCATCCGTTTTCTACCTCTTCCACAACTATGTCACCCCCGAGACCGTCCCCTTGTTGCCGGCCCGTGTGGCCCTCTGGACCTTGTACACCATCGTGCAGGGTCTCGTCGGCACCGGTGTGTGGGTTCTGGCCCACGAGTGCGGTCACCAGGCTTTCTCCCCCTCTAAGGTCCTGAACGACACTGTTGGCTGGATCTGCCACTCCCTTCTGCTCGTCCCTTACTTCTCCTGGAAGATCTCCCACGGCAAGCACCACAAGGCCACCGGAAACTTGGCCCGCGACATGGTCTTCGTTCCTAAGACCCGTGAGCAGTACGCCACCCGCGTCGGCAAGGCCCTGCACGAACTCGGCGAACTGTGCGAGGAGACTCCCATCCTGACCGCCGGCCACCTTGTGGCCCAGCAGCTCTTTGGCTGGCCTCTGTACCTGCTCAACAACGTCACCGGTCACAACAACCACTCCAAGCAGCCCGAGGGCCGCGGTAAGGGCAAGCACAACGGCTGGGGTGGCGGTGTTAACCACTTCAACCCCTCCAGCCCTCTGTATGAGGCCAAGGACGCTAAGCTCATTGCCCTGAGTGACCTCGGTCTCCTCCTCACCGGAACTGCCCTCTACTACATCGGTGCCAACTTCGGCTGGTTGAACCTGTTGGTCTGGTACGGTCTCCCGTATCTGTGGGTGAACCACTGGCTCGGTAAGTTTTTAGACGAAAAAAACTTCAATTCTTCCGCATCACTTTTGCTAACATCCCTCGCAGTTGCCATTACCTTCCTCCAGCACACCGACCCCACCCTCCCTCACTACCAGCCCGAAGTGTGGAACTTCGCCCGTGGCGCTGCCGCCACCATCGACCGTGACTTCGGCTTCGTCGGTCGTCACATCTTCCACGGTATCATTGAGACCCACGTGCTGCACCACTACGTCAGCAACATCCCCTTCTATAACGCCGACGAGGCCAGCGATGCCATCAAGAGCGTCATGGGCGACCACTACCGCACTGAGGCTCACACCGGCTGGACTGGTTTCTTCAAGGCCATGTGGACCTCTGCCCGTGTCTGCCACTGGGTTGAGCCCACTGAGGGTGCCACTGGCGAGAGCCAGGGTGTTCTGTTCTTCCGTAACACCAACGGCATCGGTATTCCTCCTACCAAGATGGCGGCCAAGGCTCAATAGATGGTGGGCCTTGGTGCTGATTTTGGTTTCGGTTCTGATTATGTTTTCTTTTTTTCCTCTCGCATTGTTCTGATTCGATTTGAGCTTTGATGTCTTATCTTGTTTACTTTGCGTGCATATCCATGGATGTATACACAATGTCAACATGATTTTCTTGAGGAGATTGGGTGACGGTCATAGATGAAATTTGATGCTTTTGTTGATCTCGTCTTTTGACGCTCAAGCTATTTTCTTATGACCGTTTATCTTTGAATCCTTAGATCCATCTTGTTTCTTCAGTGAGGGGTTGAGATCATGTCGGCAGGAGGTGGGGGGAATAAAGAAAAGAACCTGATGAAAAATGGGGAGAGAGATGATTGTTATTTTAGAGAAATGTGTTTTGTCATCGCTGTCCGTATATATGATTATGGTTAATTTGAAGCGTGTTCTGTTCGTCTCTGTTTCTTACCTGCTTGAATGCATATAAAACTGCTCCGTAGAGCAAATGATCAATAAGCAGTGTGATCTTCAGATTCTAGTTCTGTCCTTTATAAGAATCTTCGAGTCAAGTTAAGAAAAACTTAATAGACAAGATACTGAAGACATGTCTAGTTTTATATATGTAGCAGCATCAGCTAAGGCCACCAAATTCAAGTCTATAGCCCCACATGGATCGATACACACTGTTCCTCAGCAGCAGTCCCGAGGCACACGAATTTATTAATTAGTGCCTTGTTGAACCCCTCCAATCTTCAAGACAAGATAGTTACATGCAAGGCGTCGTAGATCACACAACTTCGGACGTAAACTTCTAATATACACAAGACCAGTATTTCACACAGGTGTCTATTATTTAGATTACTTGTGCTTTTGTTTGGATTTTTCTGTATATTTTTTCGAATGGTGATATTATACAATAATACTTATAGAGAACAGATCGCCGTTGGGTATATCATGTATCATAGTTCTATTGCTGTTCTAGTCTGAGATGAACATGTCACATAGTATGTCACACTATTTGGAGTAGACCACATTCCAGACTTTCAAAGATGTACTGTAGCTTTGGTAGGCAAGAATGAAATCGGTTATATGACATTAGACGAATCAATCACCATGACTCGTACTTCTCAGGCCACCTTTCCAGATTTCAAACTCTACCTCACCACTTCTTCTACTTGGTTGGCCGTTTCTCGGTGTATCCTTGGGACCTGCCGTCCACGGCGAGAACACCAGTTTCATGGTCCTCCGTGTGGTGGATTCAGAACTCGGAATGTGCTGGTGGTTCTGCGAGTCAGAGACTCTGTTCTTGAGAGAGGGGGCAGGCATTGCTATTGAGTCCGGATCTCGATAGGTGTTTGTATTTCCTCCGTTTTGGAACTGCGATGCTTCCTGTGTGGACGCATACGCATGATCGTCCACGGAAACAGCTACAGCGTGGGAATCTTCCTTTTTCAATGCGATTCGACAGGCGATCTGCGTTGACCAGACGAATCCCAGGGCTGGATTCTTCAGAGATCCGCTCTCTGGGTACGCACCATCCCCCCAGCCAGAGTAGAAGCGCTCCTGGTGAGCCACGTTCAGCATGCTATTGCGTACTCGAGGGGCAATTAGGTACGAGCCGTCGAAGTTTTTATCGTGTGGGGCGTGGTATGGTGACGAGGAGATAGCGGAGGAAGAGGGTGGTGGCTGCTGGCTATTTCTAGTAGCTAACTGTTCAGTTCGAGATTTTGGGAGGGGGAGACAGGGCCGGATCCACGATCTGTTGTTTGGTTTGCGATGGATAACCCTGGCCGTGGAGTTGGCTCGGTGCTTTTTATAGGCTCGAAACGGTCGGAGACTTGGTTCGCGAGCACGATGGCAATGTCTTCCTTTACAGCGAGGTTGCGTAGTAGATGGCCTAGTTTTGCGAGCTGGGATGATCGTTTGGTGAGGGCTTGGATGCTGTTTGATGCGTGTTCAGCGCGGTAATTGGATGTTATTGAATCGATGATGACCAGGCCGATGTTATAACGTTCGATGGCGACAGGAAGATGGAAATTCAAGATGTGGTCTTGTGTCTCCAAGTCCATGGCGTTGATGGATAGGATATCCTGCAGCGAGGGCGCCTGCTCCGCGGGGAGTGTTGAGAGGATAGGATGACATTCTAGGAGCTGTGAGAGTCGTGGCGTAGATAGTGGGTGTTCTGTCGATATGTATATGGCACGTCGTCGTAACCCCTGTGGTTTGGGTAGCTGGACGGCTAGACAGAGGCTTAGAAGGAACTGGGTCTTGCCGCTTCCACTGGACATTGATCCACATGTCAGATGACCTGCCTGTCCGGCTCATAAGACCTGGATGAACACTTGCAACATACCTCTCGCCTGTAACTTCTGTGACATAACCGGTCGGAATTCCACCCTCTAGGAGTGCATCCATGCCAGGGTCAAGGGTGCTTATAGTGCTCCATTGTGACGTGCGCTTTGTCGAGATTGTCCTGCTCGCTACATCAGGGTTTATACTGGAGCTGGGTCCATCGCTGGTCCCTGTGTCTGTCTGCGACTTCTCAAAGCCAACATCTGTGTGCAATGCCTCAATGATGCGGGAGGAGAGGCGGCGAATGTCTGCGGGAGGTACGCGGGCACGTTTCGCGATCTCGAGAGAGTCGAGGGTGATCAGGTCGACAGTGGTGATTTTAGCTCGTTCGAGAGGAGGAAGGATATGTGCAAAGGGTTTCGTTACAAAGCCAGGTAGGACTAATAGAAGATCCATAGGAAAAGCGCTGTCAATATAGGCGTTGATGTTGCGACTCTACGATTGTTCAAGCCTGAGCCAATCACAGCGGGGGGAGATAGTATTCTTTAATTGGTCGATTTCTAACCCACGACATGGATCCTGGTGGATATTCTCACGTGACTTTCCAAAAGTGTAGGGCCAATTAAACACTGTAAAAAGCCTCACATCCTCCTATAAGGAAAAAAAAGGTAGGGAGCTTCTCTTTGATTGAGCGTGTCATCCTTAGGCAGGGGCCATGCTAATCTTCTCTATATGTTTTCTGTAGACCATATGCCGGCACAGTAGCCATGTGGACTTTCATTATAACCTCACTTTTCGGCAGAATTGTACCGCCTACTTGTATATAGTAGACTGTGAGGCCAGTCAACTTAGGCATGTGAAGAATTGTTTAGGGTTATTATCTGGCTCACAGTTTACTCTGAGTAAAATGTTTCTGGGCATTTATTGACATTTGGAAAGTAAAAGAGTGGAGCTTATGGAGTAGTCAACTGAGAAGTGTACATGTATAGGAACTAAGGATCTTAAGAGCATTTTTTACACATAGCTTGGTTATTTTGGGATCTTTTAATATGGCAATTGGACTAGCCTACAGAGTATTCTATCCTTTCCCTACTGATCTTGCTAGATTTGGATAAGAGGGGGAGGAAACAAGCTTCACCAGGAAAACCAGAACAATATAACATAGCAAGTCAAGAGGCAAAGAGAGAGTAGAGAAACAAGGGACTCTCTTAGGGAGCAGGCAAGCATGACTCTATAACTAGTGTTGTACCAGAGAGACATTCTGGTCCTTAAGGCAAAATTGCAGGGGAAGGCAAATGGAGACTGCATGGGTTCTCAACAGCAAGGAAGGGTACATATTTAATAATATTATTTTTAGACATGCAAAGCGATATGTTGTACTTGAGTAATCTCAACAAGACCTCCAGGCTTGGAATCCATCAAATACCAGTTTCACGAAGCAATTCTTGGGCTGTAGGAGTGTGCTGATTGATGCGACGCTTAGCAGAGATGGCATAATATCACCCCAATGGATCAATATCCCGATGTATGGGTAGACCCGGTGTGTATCGCTCAGCAACAGCAACAACCCTGGTTGGTTTCTGTCTTAATCTTTTGTGTCTTGGTGCTAATCTCAAACTACTCCGTACAAATATCGGGTTTCCTAGTTAGGAAGGTCAAAGAAGCTCGATGGCCCCCAAGTACTATTGGGGACTCCGTAGACAGTACGAAGTACACTGTAAACGCATAGAGAGGTCTTATAGATAAAACTGTGCTATATGGATATATAGCCTCTATGGTTGGTTGGTCAACTATACATAAAATCCATGATTCATAAGCATGCCCTCCATGACAGCTGAAGTGTTATAAATATGTTGGATCAGAACACAACTGGTACAGGTATAAAATGTAATATTGGGAAACCCGATGGTACAATTTATGTACATAGCAGCTTGTACTTGGTACAAAGCCAGTACCTCTGGCGTTCTGTATTTGGCAGGTGGATAAAATGAGACTTTTTGGGGTTCAAGATCCGCCAGAGTCAATACATCCGTGCCAAATGAGGATTTGAGAACTCAAAAAGAATTATTGCAAGTTTTGGTTTGTTGATGTTATTCACTCTATGAGTTCGCGTTTTTTGGGGGCTGTTATTGTACACGCTATCGACTAAAGTCGACAGATCATGCGTCGACTGACGATTTACAATGTGTATTGCGCGAGATCTGAGGTCACTATGACTCGTCCTAATGCCGTTAGTAGGAGATGATCAAGTTGTTTCATGAATCTTAGTCTCTGAGGATCTACCTGTATTCCACGTGGCAATAGAATAATTAAACTAGTATATTTTCAGGTCCAATTTTAACAGAAAAGCGATAAAGTGATATATTTCAGCCCAGATGCGTTATGTTGTAGATGCACGAAGTAGATTTTGAGTCGTCCCAGGGATCTGGACAAACGTACCATCGGGATTTGGTTGTGGATCCTCGTGTATAGCATGAGATATGTATTATTGTATGAGACGATCTGCGTGCTATCAAGTGTGGCTGATTTTTAAAAGCAAACACACGGCAGATAACCGTGTCGTGAAATAATGATACCAATAATACTTCATATGAACTAGCCCTACACCTCCCCTATCAAAAGTCATGAAATATCATATGATTGCGGAGGGGGAAGCATCGATTTATCCTGGTGCGACCGTGTCAAACTTACATGGAAGTCTGTAGTTGCAGAGAGGAGAATTGTATTCTCCCCTTTGACACCCTTCGATCCGTTTAACAGCCACTCACATGATAAAATATTCCTGCCGCCCATCCCGATCAAGAAAACAGCCCAAACGCAAACACGGGACCAGAGCGGTAGCATTATTAACTGCTTCGACAGGGGGTGTTCGGAGCCGAGGCGGATATTATAACTTCATATACGGAGTACAGAGTACAGAGTAGCATGGTTCAGTTAGAATTTAGGGGAATATTTGCGTAGATGTATGTCTACTATTCTACGACATACGTGCGGTGTGTGTGAGGTACACATGTTTGCACATGTCCATGTGATCGAGAAAGACTCCTACCAAGTACAGATAATATCCCTACAATATATGAAGACATGCAACTTGCGCGTATATGTGCGTATATTCTATCTCCGGATGTTGTACTCCGATTGGGAGGGACAAACCCCGAGTCATTTATAACAGCATTCTCCAAAAACATGGAATACAATAAATATGGAATAACGGCCAAGAGCCCGCTGAGCGCTAGCGAAATTTCTGTAAAATAGTAAATCCTTCTAGAATATCAATGCGCTGAATCGTCGTTACAATACCTGTGATCTTCGGGGGCTGGGGGATTGCCACTCACGGCTGAAATGATTCAGGGATCGGCGGTTTGTGTATAAAATCGCTTACGGAGCACAGGGTACAGAGCACTTACAAAGTCACTTTTTTTCTCCAAAATTACCCTAGATGCAGGGAGTAGATTATTACACACCGTAAGTGAATATTCGCATCGAGCCGTGAGGATCCACAACCCCTGCAACACATGGCTTAGTGGGGAGTATGAATCTTTGACAAAGCTTGGACCGAGTGTGTACACAGTAGGTACGGCTAGGGAAAAAAATGAAACTTTAGAAATGAAAAGTAAATCCAGGAGCGCATCATTATGCAGACAATCTTCGTCGCCACAAGGAATTCTGCAGTACCGAGTTGAAATATGCTAGGGCTAAAGTATACAAACTTGCATTATTACTTGAATATCATGCCCAATATAAACTTTGCGTGCATACGGAGTAGAACATACTCCGTAGTCATGGGAAAGTGGACCGAAGGGATTTTCGAGTCAGACCAATCGACTATTTAGAGCTGACGCAGTAGTTTCTCATGGTCCGACTTCCCCGGTACTAAATGCTAAAGGAGATCCGCAATTGAGTACTTTTTACTCCGTATAATTACTCTGTCGAAAGAATTTGTTTCCGAATATAACACGTATTATACTACAAATTATAATAATGACAAAAAGGATTGGACTCAAGTCTACCAGTGTACATAAAAAAAGCCGTTAGATGCGGCCCGTTTTGGAATTCCTTGCTAGATTGTGTACGGACTCCGTGTTAGTCCCCAGGCCCTAAAATATGGTACACAGTACGGAGTGGTTTTTCACAAATTTGGTTTGATTAGGTCCGCTTAACACTGAGTGTTTATAATAAAGGTCCACAATTAATGGAGCGGTACGGAATAGCTTGATCGGTGCGGACCGTGTGGGGGGTGTAACATGGGATCTAGGTAGAGAGGAATAATGATATGAAGATCTAATTGAGGCATACAACATATCAAGAGGTTGATATTCGGTCCTTGGTACTCTGTACTCCGTATGTTGTATAGGATATCAGATTCATATCGACAGGGGAGTCAGATATTGACGGGAATAATATAGGAATAACTACACACTGACTTCCAATACTTGCCTAGGTGGGACGTTGTGTTTCATATATCATACTGACATTCTTAACACCATTCTCCACATTCCGTTCTCCATATGGAGTTGTATCAAACAAAAAGGAAGAGAAGAAAAAAGTATGCATATTTGATCCACCTTCATAATTCCGAAATTCAGCGAAAAAGAGGATTTGCTGATCAAAATTATTATAGAACTGCACATTGGATTAACAACTGGCAGCTGCATCTCCTGCCAGAAACCGTCTAGTCGGTTCTGGACGCTCATTAAAGACATCGCTGATTGGTTCAAAGCAGTCAGCCAAGCGAGTCCGGCTTGATTGTCGAAGCGAATCATGTTTCCTGACGATTCACAATTAGATTTTCCTGATCTTACATGGGCAATGTCTGGATCGGGAGATTTCAAAGTTCCGAGTTATTTTTCCTTGAATGTTCTCAGGGGGACTAGTTCTGTAATGAGAATACATGGTATTGAAGTTTATTAGACTTTCTTCAGCTAATATATATGTAAATTGATATTGGAACCTTGAAAACGACATATTCATCTATCAAAGTAGTTCAATATAAGCATAGAATATTATGGAGACCAGGGGGAATAAAGCGACTCCGGTCCGTTGGACTGGGATGCCGGAACCTTGGAACCCAAGATAGACGCCGGGTAACGTGGAGGTGGAAAAATAAATACGATGGCTTACGAAAAAAAAGCAAATCTACATAAAATTCGTAGAATTGATACATAATATTTCATATTTCTGATATTATATTTCCATTATACCCAGGTATTATTCAAAGCCAGATGGTATACGGAGTACCATTTGGCCTTACTACATATATAATATGACATAGGATAAATATACTATAATCTATGCGGAAATTTCTTTGAATTATATACAAATAGAAAAACATGGAAAAGGCAACCCATACGGGGACCTGCGGGAACCTACGGGGACCGCGCTGGTATGTACTTTCATACCGTACATCGTAACCATCGGAAGGCGTACCAAGTCTGCGAGTCGCTAGTGTCACTTCC